GGGGGTATGGTGAGAGGCACAAACAGATCCCCTGCATACCTCCCCGCACCCGGGCTTTACCTTCGTGCTCATCTCTCGCACCCGACCTGTCCAAACCTTTTATCTGACAGATAAGGAAACAAAGTTCAGAAAGTCTTGACCGACACAGCTGATTAGTGCAAAGCTGAAATTTGGCCAGACAGCTGGACTTGTGGGGGCGATGACTCGCCCTAGCACCCCTGAACTCCCCACGCCTCTGCTGTGAGAGGAGAGCGCTGACAAGTGCCTGCTGAAAGGAAGCACCTAGAGAAACAGCTACTGAGCTTGTCTCAGAGCGATCATTTAAAAATTTTCAATGTCTTCCGTGTCGTCGGGGTTTCCTGTTGCTACCTTAAGCATGTGCTGGTGACCCATGCAGACAGGCTGTCATGCTCTGAGCACATTACCGAACGTGTAGACAAACCCAACAAGGAGCACAGCCCAGGATCTGGGCCCAGAGGGGAGGCAGCGGGCGCCGCGCATGGAAATCTCCCCGCTCAGCGAGTGTGCCCGTCCTCAGAGCCATTGTGAGCACTAGGATCAGCAAGTGAGTAGCAGCTGTCATTCACAGTGGCACAGTGGCTTCAGCCAAGGGGGCTCTTGAAAATGTTTTCCAGCAGTAATAACGAAGTGATGCGCATCATGGACAATGAAGTGGAGGAAATGGAAATAAAGACCTTGGTGTCACGGGCTGCCAGCTGTTACATATCATTAAAAACATTTGTACACTCGCACACATGACACACATGAAATTAATTTTTTTTTTTAATTTTTATTTATTTATGATAGTCACAAAGAGAGAGAGAGGCAGAGACACAGGCAGAGGGAGAGCAGGCTCCATGCACCGGAAGCCCGATGTGGGATTTGATCCCAGGTCTCCAGGATCACGCCCTGGGCCAAAGGCAGGCGCCAAACCGATGCGCCACCCAGGGATCCCCTGAAATTAATTTCTAAATACGAATTCATTACATAAACATCTTGGGGAAATGGGCTTTTTTTAGAGACATGGTGGGAAAGAGGCTAGAGTTTTAAACTGAGTCCAAATTCGAGAAAGTGAGAATGCCAAACCAAAGAACTGTGACTTTATTTTATTTATTTTAAAGGGGTGTGTGTGTGTGTGTGTGTGTGTGTGTTTAATTCATGAGGGACAGAGGCAGAGATACAGGCAGAGGGAGAAGCAGGCTCCCTGCAGGGACCCTGACGTGGGACTCGATCTGGGGTCTCCAGGATCACGCCCTGGGCCAAAGGCGACGTAAACCGCTGAGCCACCGGGGCTGCCCAGAATTGTGACTTTAATGCAGGGTACTGCAAGCGATAGGTCACAGGGCAAATCTGACCCACTGCTTATCTTGTCCGTGAGAGATGACCATGCCCATTAGTTCAGGTATTATCTGTGGGCATTTTTTTTCACTCTAGGGGTAGAGTTGAGTCACTTCAACAGAGACTAGATGGCCCGCAGAGCCCTTTATGTATATGCTCCTTTAGAGAAACATGCGGGTGCATGCTAGGATAGACAGTATTGAAGGTTTTGGACCAGAGGAATGCTGTGATGGAAGCCATGAGATCCTGACCCGGCAGGAGGGTGCACGATGGGCTGGAGCAGGGTGCTAACAGCAGTCAGATACAAGGCCACCAGAGCCCAAATGAAGGTGGTCACAATAAATATGGGGAGAAAAGGACAGGTTTGAGAGATATTTCAAAGAAAACCAGAACATGACACCTGGTTAGATAAAAGTAGAGCAGAAGTGCAGGTTCAAGGCTACTTTGAGTCTGGGTGCTCAGGTTCCCAGCTCCGTGTTCATCACAACTGAAGGAGCAGCTGGCCTGGGGTGAGCGGCTCACTGTAGTTTTAAACATACCTGGTCCCACAAAGTGTGTGAAAGGCCTGCAAATGGCTGGCGATGTACAGCTGGGACTTGAGCGGTCCATGGTGCGCCTGCGGTAATGCAAGTGGTAAAGGTCTGTGTCAACAACCGAGGAAGGTTTGGACAAATGATATGTGTCTGATATAAACTGTGATGACAAGTAGCCCATGACAGCCCTCCAAAGAGGCGGGCCCTTCCTAATGTCACATGAGTAACTTCCTGGGGGGGGGTTGGTTGGGGGGAGGGCAGCCAGAGTCTGCTCCAAGGACCCTGCTGGTGACCTCCTCCACCCCACCCCACCGTCCCCTCCCTCAGCATGATCCCTTCAGCACAGTGGGCATCAGGCATGTGGGGCACACACAGGACATGCTGCACACGGACTACAGACGCTCTGGGGTCCCAGGCCGCTCAGGGTTCACTTTAGCTTACCCCAGAGCGTCGCCTACCTCGGGCTCTAGTAGGCTCTCCAGTTCCACTTGGAAGTTCTGCCTCGATTCGCATCACTTTGGGGCAGGTGCCAATGTCTCTGCTTTTCCTCTCTCTGAGGGTGGAACATGTCAAGTTCTTTCTGGCTTGGGCCACCCAGACTTGAGAAGGGATCTGTTCTTCCCACAGCCCCCTGGATTCTGACTCAGCAGTTGGCATGGATTATCCCTAGAATTTACCAGAATGTTCCTGGGCTCTCAGTGCTCAGGCCACTCCGCGGTTGCTACTGCTTTTTTTTTTTCCCATAAACTCTCTCCTTTCTGAGGCTTCTTCACACTCCCGAATCCAGCTCCCCCCCATCTTGTTCACCCCGATAGTCCCTAATCGCTTCTGATCGCCCCACTCATGGATTACCTCACTCCTCTTCTCCAGGCGAACTTGTGCAAAAATGTGCACAAATATCTGTAACTATTAGCACATCTACAATCTATTTAAATGTTGGCTGGTCCTGGACAGACAGAGGAGTGGGGAGTGAGACAATCAGTATTTGGTCAATCAGTATTTCCACTCCTGGGAGGGAGACTGTAATCACAGGATCGACTTCAGAAAAGTTATTTTGTTGTTACATTAATAAAAGGTGGTCTTGTAATTCATTAAAATAGTTGTCATCTTTTCCTCTGGATTAGTAAGTGTAAAGTTGATTACTATATATTTTTCCGGTCACTTCCTTGTGACAGGCTCCTAGATGGTTTGACAGGTGCCATGCACTGGGGAGGTGACAGGCATAGCCGCATACCATTTCTTTAGCCAGACACGCAAGCTATTTTACCTCTGACCTTTGTTTGCTCATCCTTGACTTCTTCATCAAGGGGCAAGCCTAGGCTTTCCTGTCCTCGTTTCTGTTCACATTCAACCAAAATGTATTAACAAGTCAATTCTATTGTTAAGAACAAACCAAGTTCACAGAATTGATATAAAAAATGGAAGGAATGAATTCTTTTCTCATCCAGAGGTTCCCAAGCTTATTATTAACATGAAACAATCCCACTTTTTTAGGCTTGTGTTTCCAAGCCCACGTGTCTTGTAAAAAGCCTTTTGTGTCTTACTGAGGGTGACTGCTTAATCTTAGATAGCTTTCAGAGAGAATTAATCTACTAAAATATGAAAAAATTGAACAAAAATTTAAATATTACTCCCCTACTGAGGCACAAATGAAAAATGCATACAAACTATTTTTTAAAGATTTTCTTTACTTATACATGAGAGACAGAGACACAGGCAGAGGGAGAAGCAGGCTTTCTGCCGGGAGCCCCATGTGAGACTCAATCCCAGGACCCTGGGATGACGACCTGAGCCAAAGGCAGATGCTAAACTACCGAGCCACCCTGGCATCCTTTCCCTTTAAAATTCACTTAATGGGACAACTGGGTGGCTCAGCGGTTGAGCCCCTCCCTTCAGCCCAAGGGCAGGATCCTGGAGTCCTGGGACTGAGTCCCCTATCAGGCTCCCTGCAAGGAGCTTGCTTCTATCTGCTTGTGCTTCTGCCTCTCTCTCTCTCTCTCTCTGTGTGTCATAAATAAATAAATAAATAAATAAAATCTTTAAAATAAATAAATAAAATTGACTTAAAATGTCAGCTCAGGGCAGCCCCGGTGGCTCAGCAGTTTAGCCCCGCCTGCACCCAGGGCGTGATCCTGGAGACCTGGGATCGAGTCCTGTGTCGAGCTCCTGCGTGGAGCCTGCTTCTCCCTCATCCTGTGTCTCTGCCTCTCTCTCTCTCTATGTCTATAATAAATAAATAAATCTTTGAAAAAAAATGTCAGCTCACTCTTTTGGAAAGATCAAGACCCACTCTTTTAAAGACAAAGACTGGAAAGGAATATTGAAAAATTTAAAATCCTTTATTAAATTTGAAGTGGTTGGAATGCAGGTTATTCTTTATTTGGCTTTCGATTATTATTTGGGAAATTAAAAAAAAACCTAACAGAGGAGGAAAAGTAGGAGCTATGTTGGGATGAGAAAAAAAAATTAAAAATATATATGTTGGGATGAGATCACAAAACGTGCCCCTGATGTTGTATTTTTCTTTTTAATATATGATCGGTATACTAAGTATCAAAGTTGTTTTTCCTGAAAGGAGAAGCTCACTAGCTTAAGTGATGCTGCCTGCGGACAGCAGTCTGGGACAAAGCTAACGGATCCAGCTGTTGGATCTTGGCTCACCTGCCCCCATCAGTGCTCTAGCAACACAAATCAGTCTGCAAGTCCTTAGGAAACAAGGGTTTCCCAACGGCACTAAGAGCGGGGCTCCCCTCCCGGAGTTGCGGGCAGACCCGGCCCGCGCGCTCCGCCGCGCACCTCACCGATCCCGGCGCAGCTCGCCGCAGGTCTGGGCGACGCGCTCTGTGCGGAGGACCCCTCGCTCTCTGGTCTCTCCGAGGCTTGCCAGTCAGCAGCGGGACCGCAGGGAGACCGCGGGGGCGGAGCCAGAGCCAGGAGTGGGCGGGGCGGGGCGGAGCCATAGCGAGGGATGGGCAGGACCGGCGTGTGGGCGTGGCAAGAGCGCGGCGAAGGGCGGAGTCAAGCATGGGCGGGGCGAAAGTCAGAGTGGAGAGCCGAGCGCAGGCAGTGCGGGGGCGGAGTCAGAGGGAGAGGCAGGGCGTGGCTAGGGGCGTGGCCTGCGCTAACGGTCGCGCGGCGGGCTGCGGGCGGAGCGCGCTGTGGAGAGGCGGCGGAGCGCGGGCCCAGGCAGGCGCGAGGAGCCGTGGCTGAGGTGAAGGCCTGCACGGGGCGGCGGGATCTGCGAGGTGCGGCCGCGCGCGGGGGCCTCGGCGCTGCGCTGCGTGGGCCGCGTTGAGGCTCCAGTCACGCGGCTGCCCCTTCCGTTGCTTCCGTTTCGGGGCGCCGCCTCCCGCAGGGGGCTCGTCCCCGGGGCGGCGGGGGGCGCGCGCCTCAGAGCGCGCTGTGCCGTGGGGCGGGCCCGGCGGGGCGGGTGCGGGCGGTGTCCCCTGGTCCCCGCGCTCCGGACTCCCCCGCGGGCCTCCGTCCGCCCCGTCCGGTGGGCTCGGGGCGGGGTGCCCGTCGGAGCTGCCCGGCCGCCCTCGGGGAGCCTAAAGCCGGCCGGGGGGCAGGCCCTGGGCCGCTCTCGAGTCCGCCCTCTGTTCTTTTTTTGTTTTAAAGATTTTATTTATTTATTAATGAGGGACACGGAGAGAGGGCACAGGCTGAGGGAGAAGCAGGCTCCTCACAGGGAGCCCGCCGCCGGACTCGATCCCGGGACCCGGGGTCACGCCCGCGGCTGAAGGCGGCACTCAACCCCTGAGGCCCCGGGCTGCGCTCCTCTGTTCTTCTTAAATGATTTTATTTTTAGAAATCATCATTCTTTCATTGAGAGACTTTGCTTCTTTAAAAGAAAAAAAAAAGAAAAAAAAAGTAGTGTCTTCGTCAGCGAAAGCCCCAGGGCGGCCCGCGGGGTGGGAGAGTCCGCGTCCCCCCCCCCCCTCCCCGTTCCCCGGAGCCACCGTGTGCTGAAGGAATGGTGGAAACTGAGCAGCCGCACTGACGAGTGTCACGGCGCTGAAACGGCTGACAGGGACGGTACTCAGGACCGGCCGCCGTTCCACGTTTTACTATCGTTCATTCCATGTTGAGGGCTTTTTATGCACGAGCTCGCATTGAACACGGTCAAGAAGTCTCTCAGGGTTGAAATCCCTTCCTCTCCCCACACACAGTGTAACCAGATTGAAGGTATTTGCGGGAGAGTTTTGTTGTATTTCTTTCTTTTTTTTTAAGATTTTGTTTATTTATTCATGAGACACAGAGAGAGGCAGAGACACAGGCAGAGGGAGAAGCAGGCTCCATGCAGGAAGCCCGACACGGGACTCGATCCCAGGACCTCGGGGTCACGACCTGAGCCGAAGGCAGATGACAACCGCTGAGCCATCCAGACGTCCCTTGCTGGCTTGCTTGCTTTTCTTTCTTTTTCTTTCCTTCTTTCCCTCTTTTCATCCATTTGAGAGAGAGGAGACAGAGACAGTAGGCATGCCTTCCAGCAGGAGAAGGAGGAGCAGAGGGAGAGGGACAGAGAGAACCCCCAAGCCGACTCCCCACTGAGCACAGAGCCCCTCTCTAGGTTCTTATCTTGTGACCCCCTAGACCATGACCGGAGCTGAAACCAAGAGTGGACACTCAACCAATCCAACCCGGCGCCCTGAATTTTGCCATATTTCTAAAAGTAGGCTTTATGGTAACAAATATTTAAATCTGCAAATGTCCCATTCAATCATCTCTCATCTGAAACTCTAAATTTGGGACACCTCGGTGGCTCAGCGATTTAGTTCCTGCCTTTGGCACTGGGGCGTGATCCTAGAGTCCCGGGATCGAGTCCCACATCGGGCTCCCTGCATGGAGCCTGCTTCTCTCCCTGCCTATGTCTCTGCCTCTCTCTCTCTCTCTCTCTGTGTGTGTGTGTCTCTCATGAATAAATAAATAAAATCTTTTAAAAAACTCAAAAACCCCCCTCACATTCTGTGTTTCACTGAAACTAACATTCATTACCTAGGATGTCTCTTGCATTCAGAAATATTAAAATGTAAAAAAAAATTTGCTGAGTTACACATTTTTTGAAAGTGGAAGTTAAAAATTGAAACCGAACTGTATCATTCAAAACTGTAAAATGACATTTTGAAACATGTTTTTTACAGATTTGATCTGTACTAACTTACATTTCACTGTTATAATAAAAACGTTCCCTAAAGAATGAGTAATATATCCAATGCTTTCCTAGATAACTTTTTAAAAGATTTTATTTTATTTTTATTTATTTGTTTGAGAGAGAGTACATTCATGCACAGAGGAGAGGGGCAGTGGGAGAGGGAGAAAGAGTCCCAAACAGGCTCTGCATCCACCGAAGAGCCCCACATGGGGCTTGACCCCACAGCCCTGAGATCATGACTGAGCCAAAACCAAAAGTCTGACTCAACCAACTGCACCATCCAGGCACCCTCCCAGATTACTTGTTTTAATCTTGGAATTTTTCATGGGTTATTTCAGTTATTTAATTTATGCATCCAACTTATATTTTCTAAAATGTAGATAAAAAAATGGCAAACTCCTTTGCATCAAAGACCTTCACTGCACTTTCAGATCTGCATCCAAATATGGCTAATCTGGTAGGTTTTAATGATATAGTTTGATTACCAAATTTATGTGGTAATATTAAATACATTAACATTATTGGTTCATTTGACACATACCTATATAATTGATGAGTATATAGATACTCATTCCATCAATACAATTGTTGATATTAGATAACCTGCACTTCTTCAATTTTATGCCAGGTAATGAAAATTAGTCTCTCTTTTGTCTAGAGTAGGATATTGTAGATATGACCAGCAATTGTTCAAAATGATCAAAAGTTTAATTGTATTATTTTAATTAAATATTTAATAATAGCTCAAATTTATCATTGTAAAGTTAAGTTTTGCTCGGCACTATGTATTCTCTAATCAAATTATACTTAAGTTAGAGACTTAAATACTTGCCACTGTGCTCCTTTTATGACATAAAGGTATACAAAAGATGTATTTGTGAAATATGCAAAAATTCATTTTTTACTGAAGGTTTGTAGGGGAATTCAATCATTTCAAATATGCCAAGACTGTTATTTAGTCAAACAAAATCTAGGTGGAATCATCTTATGAGATGAAGCATTTAACCTAAAGCAATCACATCCCCTTCTTTCCTTGCCCTAAGCGGTCTGTTGTTTGGCATTTACAAATCAGATTTCTTAAAATGGGATACGTTTACATGTAACCTTATAGTGCAATTAGAGTTTATTAATGTTAAAAATAGGGAGCCCAGTTCTTCTGATGTAGGCTCAGAAAAAAAAAAAGAAGAAAGATAATCTATTTGTTAATTTCCTCTTCAGTTAGAACGCTTTGCTCAATATTTCCATTAGTTGTGTTTTTCCAACAAAATTTGTGAGATCTGCATGCATATGGAATTTAAGAAATAACAGCAGTGTATCTAAATGTAGTAAGATTAGTTAATAGCTCAGCTAGAATGTGGTGGTCTTAAAAACTTGAACATATTTTAAATGTAACACATTATTGCAAGGTTAAAATCACTTGCTAGCATTAATAATATGTTTAGGTTTATCCTTTCAGGAAAACATAGTTATATTTGTTTCTTAAAGTACTTTTAAATATTCAGGTTTTGTCTAGTAGTGCTAAAGAGAACATTAAAATGTTAAGATATTACTATATTTAGGATTTAAGATCTAGGACTTTAGAGCTTAGATTTATTAGCAGCAATGTACAAGTTTTGTTACAATCAAATTTATTTTACTGTTTAGCATGTTCAGATTAAGGAGCTAAGCAATTTTATGTGGATTGTTAGAAAGTCCTATATTAAAGAAAGCTTTGAAGACTGTGGCAAATTAAATTGCATGTACATATGCTTTAAATGAATTCAGTAAGAACTGATAGCATAGGGCAGTTACTGTGCTCCACCTAGTGATTAAAAATTAAGTAGAAACATGCTAAGTATTAAATGATTATATTTGTAATAGCAGGTAACTGTCTTATTACTTTGTACTATTCTTTGTGGAATTGAACGTTTATGAAGTTTTTAGATGTTTGTCTGGAGTAAATATATTTAAATGGCTCCTAGTCAAAAATGTTTATTAGAGTCAGTAAAATATAACAAGTCCATGAAATTAAATTTACCATCTACATCTGTGTTTAATATTGGTCTTCTATAACCCTTTTGTTTTTCAGAAAATAATTGGTATAGTTATTGGGAAAACAGATGTCAAAGGCTTTCCAGACAGAAAAAGCTGAGTTCTATTTAATTCTTTGTTTCGTTTTTCATCAAGTGTGGCTTATGACTACAACAAAGTGTATTTAAGTGATTAAATTTCTCATGCCTGTTTAACTCCTTAAGAGCAGTGCCCATTGCTATATTGTATGGTACTCAATTTAAGGCCATATGTGTGAGGACATTAAAATCATTTTTAATAATATGTAAGGCTGTGTGGCCATAGTAATGGCCATGTTAATGATCATATTAATGATCACTTTCAGCCTAAGAGACATAAATACATGGGTAAATCTAAGAAAGAAAATGTTAAGGAACAGGAGTTTTGAGCAGGGTTGTGTCCTGATAGAGTAGCAAAGAGGGAGAGAGGTATGGCAGCAGTATCTATGTATTTACTCAACCAGGCAATCCAGCAAAAAAAATTAATCTTTCATATGTGGAGAATACAGTTAACTCTGGTTTTAGTGGCTCTTATTGAGTTGTTTGAACTCTATAAAAGTTTTAGGACTTTGGAGACATAATCCAAGACTAAAATTAGATTTTAAAAATCAACCTTATTTTTTTTAAGATTTTTTTTATTTATTCATGAAAGACACACAGAGAGGCAGAGACACAGGTAGAGGGAGGAGAAGCAGGCTCCATGGTGGAGCCTGATGTGGGATTCGATCCTGGAACTCCACCTGGAACTCCAGGATCATGTCCTGAGCTGAAGGCAAACGCCCAACTGCTGAGCCACCCAGGCGTCCCTAAAAATCAACTTTAAAACCAAGTTTTCTAACATCTGAGTCAATACACAATGATATGATGTAAAATGCCAAAACTGGCACAGTACTACTATTAGTTTTTAAACCATTAGCATTGCTTATGAGAAGTTACAGAATAAGCACTTCTGTGGAGCTTGAAGGAGTCAGAGCTCTAGTCAGCCAGACAATAATTTCAGCAGAAGACATTAGTTTTGTTTGAATCACCTGAGTACTTGTAGCTCTGGTTTTCCCTCTTGGTGTAGTGATGGTACCTTTATTTTAATTTCATGTAATATTCTATTAATCATGTTTGATGTAAATACTTGCTTATGCCTTAACTTTACTTCATTATGATTAATTAGATCAGAATTATCATTTGAATGGTTTGAGAAAAGCTGTCTTTCTGTTTTCTAAGCTCTACTTAGGAAAATGTCAGTATTTAAATATTTGCTAAATCGCAACAATGAAATACAATTTTTATCTCACAGACCATGCAGGTAAAGGATGATTCCCATGGTGTTGGAGTACTTTTTATGATTATATATACAGAACTCTTTTTTTGGAGAAGATACGCTGACTTTAAAAAAATATTACATATTACTATATTTTCATAAAACATTCAAGCAGTACAGAAGGTCATAGAAAAATGAATTTTTTTTCAAAATTTAATTTCAAGTAGCCAACATAAAGTACATACTTAGTTTCAGGTGTTTCAATGACCTATCAGTTGTATATAACACCTATTGCTCAATTCAACTCCCAGCTCTTCCCAGCTTAGTCCCCTTCCCAAAGGTAAATGCTAATAAGAGTTTGGTAGATATCTGTAATTTATATATGTATATTAAGTTGTTGCTTTTTTAATTAGCAAAAAACAGTAAGGAAATTTTATTTTGGGAAAAATATACCTGCTGACCCCTAGTGGAGCCATTTACTAGCACACATTTATTTGTTTTGAAATAATTGAGATCTGAATCATGACTTCGCTTGAAACAATAACAGTAAGAGAAAAATGGAGAATCTAAGCTAAAATCTGTATGGTTCAAGCCAACATGTCATTTCCCTCCAAATACACGATAACTGGGGAAAGGGAACAGAGGGATTAATAGTGAGGTATCTACTTTTGTAGCTTTGAGATTCATTAAAGCATAGCTTATTTTAGAATTTGTATTGGAAATATTATTTTTACCGTGTGTTTGAGTATGTTTGTCATAATAATCATATTTGTTCAAACCTAAGATAAGTTTTTCATTTGAAACATGAAAGCATTGGTTTCCCTTAGATATTGGATCAGAGAGGTACACTTTCAGTTTTACGATTCGGGACTCACCAACCCATTTTGTAAATGCAACGTCCTGGGGCAGCGAAGGTTACATCAGGTCACTTTCTGACAGCTTTAGAGTTGGAGAGTGTGGTAAGTTGGCATTGGTTCTTGAACCGTTTCTATTATAGTATTATTCCTGTGATATATTTGTGGAAACCACATTGAGGGAGTCAAAATAAGACACAATTCATAATTCTTAAGAAACTTATCAGAAAAAAGTCAGGCATTAGGAGCATAACACAGGCAGTCAGCATTTTATTACTTGAAACATATAAATGTGATAGTCACGTATTTTTACTAGGTGGATTTCTAATCTTTGGTTTATTTCATATTTTAGTTTGCATCAATTCCTGTTGTTGCTATAACCATTTATCTTTCAGTAAGCATAATAAGACTATTAAATAGCTTTTGATAAAAGAAAATATTTGAATTTTTAATAGGATTTTTGAAAGCTTTACTTTCAAAATATCAGATCTTTGGCATCCTTTACCCATCCCAGGATCCTTCTGATAGAACAGCATCATATAATAAAAAAACAAGGACTTTGAAAACGGATAGATTTGGATTCAGATCCTACTTCCAACATTTGTTTACATCCTGGCTTTGAGAAAATTGCTTAACCTTGTTGTGCCTCAACTGTCAATGAGTACCCTATAGATTCTGTGAGTGTTAAAGGAGGTAGTATACCTGGTATAAAGTATAGAATGCTGTTGTTCAGTAGATGGCAGTGCTAGCTTCATATTGGAAACAAGAAAGCACGATACCAGCTCTCTTCCGTGGTAGAAAAAAGAAGGGAAAGAGTAATGCACATAATTAAACTACTCTCCAGTGCTGCACAATTGGGCAGGCTATGACCTGTCCCTGTCACTTGTACCTGGTCATATACTTATTGCCTCATGTTATGAACTTGCAGGGTTGTTTGTAGTGTCTAACTGAACAATAAAGTACTTGAACATATGGATTGTAAAGGCAGAAAACTTTGTAAACTCCACAGGGCCCAGTACAGTCAGAAACATTCCTTGGATGAATGCCAGCCGGTAGTTCTATGGAGCTAAAGATACATTTTGTTTTGTTTTGGTATTAAACTATAGGTTGATGGTTGTGAGGATGAATGAGGTAAAGGTTCTTAAAAGCTTAAGGTCAAAAATAATTATAAATCTAAATAGGATCATAGTGTGGTGGAGTGAAAAGATTATAGATTTTTGAATCAGAATGACTGTAAGTCTAGAGCTACTGGTTTCTAGATATAAAACCTCCAGAAATTTATTTAACCTCTGTAAACTTCAATTTCTTCATTTGTAGAAAGGGATCATGGAGTGGCTGTGTGGGGAATCAGCAAAACAGACACAAAAAGGTCTAACAAGACCATAAGGAAACAAAATCCCTAAAATGTTGAGTCATAAGCTGATAAGTTGTGGAACTGAAATCAGGAGCTGGACTGTACATGGCCTTTCTGCCCAGTAGCTCTTATTTTCTAGGGCGACTGTGAATTGGATGAAGTTCACTTAAAATATATGTTTTATGGAAGGGCAAATTGTAACCAGATCACTAGTTCAGTGTAATTAATCAATAAAGCAATATTAATGCAAGTCATATATTGGGATTTAAACACAAAGCATAAGAAATGTCATCTGGGATCAAATCGATGATCATACTGCAGGATTCCATGCCTCAGTCATGTAAGGAGAGGACTCTGAAGGGTATGCTACACTGATTCAGGAATTAGAAATAACATTGTAATGTTCATTGTGATGCACACTTGTTTTTATGTATCTAGTTACTTTTTTGTAATAGCATCATATTTCTCCTTCTGTTGCAGTGACAATCGAAAATCCTCTGATCCAAAGAAAGGAATTAGAAAGAGAGGAAAAATTCAGCCCTGCAACTCCTGGGTAAATGATCCAGCACAGAGTCAATAGCCTTTGTGCTAGAGTAACCACCACTGTTGTGTCTGTGTGTCACATTAGCAGAGAGCATACTGAGGGCATATGCTTCCATTTGAAAATTAGGAGTTTAATTCTTCCTCACAGTATTTACCTTTGATTATGAAATAATTTACCTTGATACAGGATTACATGAAAACATGGCTGTTTTAGTACTTTTATTCTCATTCTTAGATTTAGAAAAATTTCACCCTGGTTATATTAAGGCTGAACAACGATGAAGAAAGAAATCTTCACCTGTGGGGTTGTCCAAGAAAAAAAAATCTTGGAAGTCCTATAGATGTATCATATCAAGGTATAACTTTGCCTACACGCCTTCCTATTTTAGTTTAGGTTCACTGGAGGGAGAGCCTAGAGGAGGATTTTTGTGCAAGTGGTTTGTTGAGGGAGAGCTCTCGGGAGCAGCCTGTAAGGGAAGGATTGGGGACAGCAGAGACGCAGGTTCGGCAGGAGCCCCAACTCTGCTTCCTGGCCCCAGAGGGAGCTCTGGAGCATGAGTGGCATTGCCCCCCAAGGTAGGGGACTGGGCTTTTGTGGCCTGGATTCACAAGTTCTTGGCTGCATCCATTCCCCACCACTGGCATATCTGCTTGAGAGCAGCTCTCCAGAGCAAGGTGACATTGCTAAAGGGCTGAGTGGGGCACAGCAATCTCCACTACATATACACCTGCAACCATTTTGAACCCTTCCCACCTACTGTTCCGACCTCATACCAGACCCCAAGTCTCACTTCTGTGCAGCCACACAGATTCCTTTCCACTCTGAACACCCAGAGCTCATTCTGTAGTATGGGCTTTTGCACACTCACTTCCCTCTGCACAGAACAGTCTCTTCCCATCTGCTTTGAATGTTTGCTCCTTCTCTTCATTGATGGGTCAGCTTTAATGTCACCTCCTTAGGTCTTCTCCATTTACTCTGTGTATAGTGGCCCTTCCAGTCCATCACTAGGACTTCACTCTGTGCTGTTATCCTCATAACCCATTCTCTGAGATTATTTGATTAACTGTTGTGTGTGTCCCCCTCACACATGTGAACTCCATGAGATCAGAGATCTTGTCTGTCTTCTTCACCCCTGTATTCCCTGTACCTAGACTAGGGCCTGGCACATTCTAGCTCTCAGTACATATTGATTGAATGAAAGAAGTGGGGGGAGATTAAGGGGCAAAGAGTGTTCTTGGCAGAGGGAACAAACATGAAACCTCCTGGCCTTTTCCAGAACAGTTGACAGTAGGTTGAACCATATGAAACTGTTGATGTTTGACTATTTTTTGCTAAAACTGCCACTTACCTATTCTAGTAGTCTAATATGGTTGGGCTGGCTATAGGGCAGGGGCAGGGGAGCAGTGGAAAGAAAAGCTTGAGAGAGAAGCAGAGACACTTCCCAGACAGCTTTGCCTGGTATACCAACTTCATTCTTGGCCGACAGCTAGCCCAGAAGATCTTTGAGCTGGGAAATAGTATATTCATATTTGTGGTTTAGGAAGATCATTTCGGCAACCTGAGGGGGAAGGAAGCTTAGGAGACAAGGCTGTAATTTGGATGAGAAGTGATGAAGGAAACACCTAAGGAAACAGCAGGGGAGGCGCAGGAGGATGGCTGGAGTTAAAGGGCTGGAAAGAGGCTTCATGAGGGGACTTGGGAGTTGACTGGCTGGAGGGCAGAGAGCACCTTGATTAGAGTTCAGTATGTAGATATTGGGCATCTACTCCACAGAGAGCATCACAGAAGGGAGTCAAGCACCATCTGATGCAGGCAGTTCAGCCAGTATTGCAGAGACAGAAATGACGGGACACCTGCCACCCTGACATTTTAGAATGCTTTTATACCCCAATTTTGTAGAGAAAAAAACTGAAGCTCAGAGTTTGGGGCATGGTCAGTAACTAGTATGCTTAAATTCGGGCACAAATTAGTCTTCAAATACATGTTATTCCCATGTTAGTCCCCTAATACATGTTAGACAAAAAAATATTTCACAACATTTTCAATGTTTCTCAGAGTAAAAAGTATAAATTTTCTTAAGAAAGTCTAAATCAGGGATGCCTGGCTGGCTCAGTGGTTGAGCATCTGCCTGTGGCTCGGGGCATGATCCTGGAGTCCTGGGATCAAGAAAGAGGCTCCTCACAGGGAGCCTGTTCTCCCTCTGCCTATATCTCTGCCTCTCTCTCTTTCTGTGTCTCGAATGAATGAATGAATGAATGAATGAATGAATAAATAAATGAAAGATTTAGTTCACCCACTAAATCACAACCAAAAAGATAATTTAATGTGAACCTGGAAGTATTTTTCCATTAGAACGTCACTCGATATTTACTGTTTGTGTTTTTGCAATTTAGTAACTATAAACTATTGCTCAGTGAGAATCACTCCATGGTAAAAGTTTGTTCCAGTTACGAAGTGGACACCAAGCTCCTTGCTTTGATATACTTACCTGTTAAAGAATCCCGTGATTTTTATTCATTGGGTGACATTATTGCAAATGGATACAGTCTGGATGGGAGGATTATTAATGTGCTTGCGGCTGTGAGATCGGTAAGTTAAAGTGTCAACAAAGCCAACCTCTGGTGGGCAGTAGTCTATCACTTCACTTGTGTTTGGAAAAGTGATAACCAGCTGGAGTAAATTTTCTTGGTCCATAGTAACTTGAGAAAATCGTGGCACTTCTCATCAATGTCAGAGGAGCAGTTTATCTGTAAATGAGTAGCAAAATAAAATAGAATTTGAATGTTAAATGAGGCACATCCCTAAATGATCTACTATGAGAGTTTTGCATACTTTGGTGAAACAAAGACATGAATGGAAAGGGTAAATTCATGGACTTGAAGATTTGCATGAAGTTTCTCGAGGGGGCATAAGTTGGAGGACTCACGGAATCCACTCGTGTGTGTGCTTATAGGTGTTCTGGGATGTGGGGGGGTGTACATACCCACCATGTGACCGGCGTGACCTCATACAGGCATAGTGGGGTGCTGGGGAGCCTCTCAGGGACCTGCACACCAGCACCTCCCTCTTACGCAGTTGCAGCAGCAAAATTCAAATTCTGTTGGACAAGACTGGTCACTTGGCAGATATTCGGAGGTAGATCTCAAAAGTGCAGTTTCACACACAAAAGTACATGGAGAAAATTAAAGGTGCAAGATTAAAGTCCACAACATGGGGAGTAATGATAGTCAGAGACCACATATACATACATGGAATGTTTAAGTAATCACTCATGGCTTTTCCACATTAAACAATGGTGTTGACTTTCCCCTTTGACAGGCCTATGATGGTGGAGGCCGTGACTGCTTTATTGTCTACCCCAGCCTAGCCCAGTGCCCACCACACAGTGAGCACGCAAGATAATTCAGGACAGAGGAATAAACTCCCTATGTGACAGTCTTGAAAAACTGGAGAAATCACTTTCTGGACAATTTAGGCTCAATCTTACATAAAGGCAGGATATTATCTCGATTTCCCTGTAATTCAACACAATGCCATTATATTATAACATCGTAAGAATTTTTTTTCATCGTAAGAATTTTTTAAAACTCACTATGAGTATAAGCAAAAGCCTGTGACTGCTTTTTCCACTAAGCCCTCCATGAGTTGGCACTCTCTTTTGTAGGAGGACATTACTTCTTTTGTGTGTGTCTTCTACTATTTTACTTCTCTCTCTCTTACGTTTCCTTTTCTTTACATTTTTGTCTAGTCCTTTCTTCCTTATCACCTCCTCTCTCTCTTCACTTTAGACTCCTTCTCGTAGATTCCTCTTGTGTGCTGTGATGTGGTGGACCTCTGTCATACTCTGGCTGTCCTCTCCTCCGACTTTCCTTCTAGGTCCTGTTCTTCAGCTGGCAGCTGCAAGTCTTTCTTCAGCTCTTTCCCCTGGAGCTCAGCTCTGTTGGAGATGCAGGGGTGACAGTAGCGAAGGGCAGCCAGCTGATAGTCCATGCTTGGGCCACTGCTATGCGCTGTCAGAGGGGCCTGCTCTTCCCTTGGAGAACTCACTGGGAAGACACAAGGGTCCCCGAGTTTACCTCCGCTCTCATGATCCCTTACCCCAGTGTGAGTCAAGCCAGACAGTGTATGAAAGCACCCTCCCAAGCCTCCCTCATCTGTTCTTCACTACCTTGTCCCCAAGGAGGCAGCACAGAAGCCTGTGCCAGCAAGGTGGTGCTGGTGCCTAGGAAGACAGTTCATTGGTCACATACACTCCATGCCAGGCTCTGCACTAAGCTGTAGGCATCACAGATGATGAAAATAGACTTTCCATCCTCAGTGAGTCCACCTAGATGCCACTCAGAGGCTTATGGTGGAGCTTTGTGACATGTTGAATGACGCCACAGTCTTAACATAAAGCACATATTTCTGTAACTTTTCAATCAAACTTGTTTAACTTACAACTTTAGCTAAATACACCTAGTTTAGAGATAGAAAAAGCTTTTACAATCATCAAATATGTATTCGTGATTCTTGCTATTTTGATATTTTTAATTTGCTGTTTAAGAGGTGAACATTTAAGTCCATCAACAAACATTTAAGTACCTCTGCAACTATAGGTGAAGAATAATGATTTCCTTCAATTTCAAAGGTTGGAGAGCCAAAATACTTTACAACTGCAGACCGGAGGAAAGGTCAGATGTGTGAGGTGAAGCTCTATGATGAGACGGAGTCTTCTTTTGCAATGATATGGTAACCTCCCACATCTGGTCCAAACTGTGATATCTCTTCTGTTGGCACAAAGACAGAATGTTTTCATTTTATGAAAAAGATGGTGGATTTCATAATAGGGGAGGAATAATGATTGAGGAGAAATAATTATTAAAAAGGAAAGTTTGCTCTTATACATTGAATGTTAGAGTCTGTGCTATAAGATTACCTTAAAATGAGGTCTTTAGACAGCACGGGATTATTTGGATGGACTGCACTGTGATTGGTTCATTCTTGTCCTCTGCTTTAGAACAGTCAGTGATCTATTAGGTCCTACTGGTAATGAACCAGCCAGATTTTCTGTGATTGCTTGGATTGTGCCCCAGAATCAGGCCACGGGAGGATGGTAGAAAAGCAGGTGTTGTCCCTGGCTGCAGGCTGAAGCACCACAGGGTACAACATGGCATTGTTCAGACTCTGGATGCCTTGGCACCAAAGAAAACACTTGATTTAAAGCAGACTTTCAACCCATCAAGTCCCCTGAACAGTTTATCCAGTGTGAGGCCCTCTTTTAATGCTCTGACAAAGTGGCTGTAAAGGCTTCAGATTGGTAGTCACTCAGCTCTGCTAGCCTTGAACAACCTACGTAGTGGGGAAAGAAGGACCTGATGAGGCAGACGTTGTTAAAGATGAACAGTGTCTAAGGAATGACTTATCACACCAACATGAAATGCCCTGTGAAATAGACAGTGGATCCTGCAAAATGCAGAAGCTGACATCCTTAACTCGTGCTTGTGATAACTTGGGGAATTAACTCCAGCCATTAAGACATTTTGCTTTTGGTAAATAATGTGGTCATTGTCAGTTTTTTTTAAGGTATTCAAATTTTTACTTCTTTTTAAAAATTTGCAGTTGGGATAATGAATCTATCCTGGTTGCACAGAGCTGGGTGCCACGAGACACAGGTATTATACTGAAATGATTGTGTTCATTCTTTGTAGTTGTTTGTACATTAATTGTAAAATAATTGTAAAATGACTTTTTCCCCCTAAACAGTAATATTTGCCTCAGATGTAAGAATAAGTTTTGACAAATTTCGGAACTGCATGACAGCAACTGTAATCTCAAAAACCATTATTACAACTAATCCAGGTAAAAGGCCATCTGAAATGTTGTCTCCCTTTATTTTTTTAATTTTTTTAAAAATTTTTATTTATTTATGATAGTCACAGAGAGAGAGAGAGAGGCAGAGACACAGGCAGAGGGAGAAGCAGGCTCCATGCACCGGGAGCCCGATGTGGGATTCGATCCCGGGTCTCCAGGATCGCGCCCTGGGCCAAAGGCAGGCGCCAAACCACTGCGCCACCCAGGGATCCCCTATTTTTTTTAATTTTTTAAAGATTTTATTTATTCATGAGAGACACAGAGTGAGAGAGAGAGGCAGAGACACAGGCAGAGGGAGAAGCAGGCTCCATGCTGGGAGCCCGACGTGAGACTCAATCCCAGGTCTCCAGGATCACAACCTGGGCCGAAGGTGGCGCTAAACCACTGAGCCACCCGGGTTGCCCCATGTTGTCTCCCTTTAGAAACTACCATGTTACACATTTCAGTGTTTGTACAGTGTATTTAAGAATGAAAACAAAGGGCACCTAGGTGGCTCAGCTGGTTGGGTATCTGACTCTTGTTTTCAGCTTGGGTCATGATCTCTGCGTTGTGGGATTAGCCCCAGTCAGGCTCAGGCTCAGTGAGTCTGCTTAGGATTCTCTTCCTCACCCTCTGCCCCTCTGCCATCACTCATGGGTGCATGTGTGCACACTCTAAAAAAAAAAAAAAAAGAATGAAAACAAAGCTTGGACTTCATTTGAATTAAAAGTGAGAGTTGTTTTACATTTTGTAAAACATTTACATGCTTTACATTTACATTTCTTGAACTTACAGTGAGCTACATCTTTGATGTCCGTACTAAAGAAATGTGAAAAACCAGACTCATTTTTAAAGTATCATCCCTTGTGATGATTTTGGAGAGATCAATGTAATTGATTGGATTACCTTAATTATTTACTATTTTAAAAATGAATTCAGGGATCCCTGGGTGGCCCAGCGGTTTGGCCTGCCTTTGGCCCAGGGCGCGATCCTGGAGACCCGGGATCGAATCCCACATCGGGCTCCCGGTGCATGGAGCCTGCTTCTCCCTCTGCCTGTGTCTCTGCCTCTCTCTCTCTCTCTGTGACTATCATAAATAAATAAAAATTTAAAAAAATTATTTAAAAAATGAATTCAGTTTTACTATATTCAAATAACTTAGTACCAGAACACTGAGAACATACACATAGTATCATTAGTTCATAACATAACAAAATGCCCAGAAGGCCCACTGGGTGGTTGTTGAAAGGAATTATAGCTTATTCCAGCATGCAGTCTTGGAAACAGGGTCTGGGAAGACCTGAGGGATTGGTGTCCTTAAGTATCCTTACGGTGTTTTGTAGTGCAGATAGAGAGATGAGCCCTGCACGTGCAAGAGTCCAGAGTTCCAGAGATGGAATGGTCCTTCCCAACCTCAGGAAGTTGGAACTATAATAGTGGGTCATTCCAGACGATAGCTCCCTCTGCTGGTCTCTGACAAAGCATCAACAGTGACAGAATTACAAAGCAAATTAAGGTCTTTGACCAAACCATTATCGGAATTTTTAAAAGTTGCATTACTATGAGATATGACCTAAAATGACAAGACTCTGTGTTCTCCATAAGTGCACTGGAGCTTGCGCATCCATCCAGCAACACTATGTCCCTGAAAGTGGGATCATGGAAGGTGACATGACATTGCACATGCTCTGTACAGGACATGGTCCCTGGGTCCAGTGACAAAACACAAATATCTCTGCCCACATAAGCTTCACATTCTAGCAGGAGAGACATGTATGATAAACAATAAAAATAGCACATCAGTAGATTATTAAATATTTAAGAAGAAGAAAGAGAGTCCAGATGGCATGGTGTATGGAGCAGGTTGCACTCTACAGAGGGTGGTCAGGTAGGCCTCCTTGGGGAGGTGACATTTGAGCAAAGACAGGATGGGGCAGTGAGGGAGTCAACCGTAGGAAAGAGCAGCAGGATCTTAGTACTGGAATGGCTAGTGCGAAGGCGCAGAGGTTGGCATGTGCCTGCATGAGGGCAGAACAGCCAGGAGGCCAGTGTGGCTGGAGCCGATGGGAGCATAGGCAGGAGGAGTCGAGGCCCAAGGAGAAGGCTAGGTTCAAGAAGACTATTCTAAGCTAATGAAAGAATGTTGGCTTTTACTCTGTAGCAAAGTAGGGCAGAGCTGTGCCATATTCTAAGTACTGAAAGGATTGGTCTAGTTGCTTTGCTGTAAATTGATGGTGACACAACCATGATCTAGTCTCAACATTTAGGATGAAAGTACCACTCTTCCTTTTTTTTTTTTTTGAGGGCCATACTATGGTTTATCATTTTATTTTATATTTTTCAAGATTTCATTCATTTATTTGGGAGAGACACAGACTGAGAGAGAGAGGCAGAGACACAGGCAGAGGGAGAAGCAGGCTCCCTATGGGGAGCCTGATGTGTGGCTCCATCCCAGGACCCCAGGAACTGGGGCAGCTGGTCTGAGCCAAAGGCAAGCACCCAACCACTGAGCCACCCAGGGGTCCCTATGGCTTATCATTTTAAATAACTTAATAACTGTATTAGTATTATATAGAGTAATGTCAATAATTTAAAATTTTCCATCCTCTGAGGTAGATAAGGCCTGGGAAAATTTATAAAAGACAGTTGGATTTGTCTGTTGGAAAAAGTTATCAAGTTTGATAGGACAATTATATCAATAACTCAAGGCTAAATTAATGAGACACATATTCAGTGGATGTTGTATGCTTGGTTCTAAACACAGACTGAAAGGGGAAATGTCAAAGTGTTTGAGCAATGCCAACAGCGTTAGAATAAATGCCTCTTCTCAGACAAGGGAGAGTACTTACAAGGGCCGTGAATTTTATTTTTTAAAAGACTTTATTTATTCGTGAGAGACAGAGAGAGAGGCAGAGACACAGTCAGAGAGAGAAGCAGGCTCCATACAGGGAGCCCGATGTGGGACTCGATCCCCGGTCCCCAGGATCACACCCTGGGCTGCAGGTGGCGCTAAACCGCTGCGCCACCGGGGCTGCCCAGGGCTGTGAATTCTAATGTACTTCTTTAAATCAGCCGGTTTGTAACTTCCTGGGCTACACACCCACCACATACAAACTAAAAATGTCTAATGGCTTAAGCTTTCATCCTAGCTTTCCTTAGGGCGTTCTCAACCCTGAGAGTATCTATCAGACAGTCCCCAACAACCTTGCTGTCAGGAAGGATCTTTATAGCGGTGCCTGTGGAAAGCCCAGGGCTTTGATTTCTGCAGCCTCATTCCAGCACCTGCTCCTGTCTGGGGTGCAACAATTCTGTTAGTGTTCAAAAAAATCCATCTATTCATTTATTCACTCATCAATTTACAAATATCTGTTGAATACCTTTTTTTGCTGAGTAGTGAGATAACATAAGTTCTTTCTGAGGGCACCTGGGTGGCTCAGTGGTTGAACCTCTTCAGCTCAGACCAGCTGCCCCAGCTCCTGGGGTCCTGGGATCGAGCCCCATATCAGGCTCCCCACAGGGAGCCTGCTTCTCCCTCTGCCTGTGTCTCTGCCTCTCATGAACAAATAAATCTTAAAAAAAATAAGCCCTTTCTGGAACAAGGCAGGACACAATGGGTATATAGATGGTCAGGTGAGTGGAAGGACAGTTGCTTATATTGGATACTAAAATGGCAGAGCTGAAGAGGCAGACCTTTGCTTGCAGGGGGTTCAGTCTAGTTATGCAAAAGAGTAGTGGTTAGACTCAGGGTTGAATGGGAGTGAGGAAGAAGCACCTGCCTCTGCCCCAGGGGTCCAAGCATCAGCACATCAGGGTGGGCAAGGGAAGGCTAGAGGCCATCCAGTGTTGGAGGCTGGAGGCCTTGAGGTTGAACAGTGTCAGAGTCCCATGGGAGCCCTTTTTCAAAACCTCATCCTTGCCTTTGGGCACACCATCTGACAGTTCCTGAGAACGCTCGTATCCCAAGCAGCAAGGCTTTCAAACACATTAAACAAAAATTTTTTTCTGCTAGAAAAGAAATAAATATAAAATTCAGAAAATACATAAAAGCAAAAAAGGAAAACAACGAGCACCTATAATCTCATCATCTTATAAGAGAATCATTTCTTGGATGTAGACTCTTCCAGATAACTTTGCATACCCATGTGTATATATGTGTATTTTTTTAATTGAAAGGAAATTGTACCACATAGTTTTATGAGCTCCTCTTTAACAATATCTGGTGTACATCTTTACATTTAGTAGACTGCTACATCACATTGCTTGATGGCTGCATAACAGTCTATTTTTATATGACTTAATTTTTACTGTTAAAAATAATATTGGATCATTCATGATTATTTAAAAAGTAATCAGTGACACCTGGGTGGCTTAGTCAGTTAAGTGTCAGCTCAGGTCTTGATCTCAGAGTCATGAGATCAAGCCCTGCTTCAGGCTCCATGCTTAGTATGCAGTCTGCTTGAGATTCTTTCTCTAAATAAATAAAAAAAATCTTGGGGCACCTGGGTGGCTCAGTCAGTTGAGCAGCTGACTCAAGATTTCGGCTCAGGTCATGATCTCATATTCCTGGGATGGAGCCCCATGTCAGGCTCTGCACTCAGCAGGAGTCTGCTTGGGGTTCTCTCTCTCCCTCTCCCTCTGCCCCTCCTCCTATGTATGTGTGTTGCCTCTCTCAAATAACCCTTAAAAAATAAGAAGTAATCAGTTGTTTTTCACATTTTATGCATTTTTTTATTTAAGATACCCCAGAAGCTAATATTCTATTGAATTTTATAAGAGAAAATAAAGAAACAAGTCCCCTGGATGATGAAATCGACAGTTATTTGAAAGAATCCATAGATTGTAAGTCACATTCAAATCGTATTTGACATTTTGAAAGGTCAAAAGATAATAGTTTTATTTTACGTAGTAAAAGATAAAATATTCTTATTCTGTTACTGCTATAGTTCTACTTTTTAAAATGTTATTTAAAACTTTTGGAAATTTTGGGGCACCTGGGTGGCTTGGTTGGGTGTCAACTCTTGGATTTGGGTTGGGTTGGGATCTCAGGGTCGTGGGATTGGACCCCATGTCAGGGGCTCCATACTTAGTGCAGAGCTGGCCTAGGATTCTCTGGTTCTCCCTCTGGATGCTCTCTCTCTTTATCTGGAAAAATAAATAAATAAATAATATTTAAACTTTTAGAGATTTCTATAACCTTTTGACAATTTGATGGGATTTTTAAATTTTTTTTATTATTTATTTATGATAGTCACAGAGAGAGAGAGAGAGAGAGAGAGAGGCAGAGACATAGGCAGAGGGAGAAGCAGGCTCCATACACTGGGAGCCCGACGTGGGATTCGATCCCGGGTCTCCAGGATCGCGCCCTGGGCCAAAGGCAGGCACCAAACCGCTGTGCTACCTAGGGATCCCTTGATGGGATTTTTAAAAAGTGAACTGACTACCCTTTTCTTACTGATTTTTAAGAATTATTTATATATTCTGGATATGAGTTCTTTGTCTCCTTTAAAGATTACTAGCATCTTCCACGCTGAGGCTTGCTTTCCCACTCTTTTAATGGCATCTTCTGATGACCAGAAAGTTTACATTGACATCAATGAATTAAATTTCTCATTCTTTCCCTTTTTTTGCTTATTATTTTTGCTCTTCTGTCCATTTCTAGAATCAGTTTTAATATAGCAAATGTAATAATTTTTCCATTACTTAACTGAAGCTATTATGTGTTCTCATTTGAACTTTGTAGTTTTTCTATTTGGATATAATCCTTTGGAATTCTTAGAATATATAGAGAGTTGTAATAACTTCTTTTTATTTTTAGTAAATACAATAGTTGATGTCTATACAGTTAAGCAATTAAAGGCAAAAGCTTCAAAGAATGAAGGAAAAACTGACACTTTCTACGGCATTCTTTATGCTTACATTTCTATGCTGAACATTGATGATGACACCACAACAGTAGTTCGACACCGATGGTAAGCAGCTGGTTTTGTCAGCAAATTTATTTTTTTTAAAGATTTTATTTATATATTCATGAGACACACACACACACACAGAGAATGGCAGAGACACAGGCAGAGAGAGAAGCAGCCTCCATGCAGGGAGTCCGAAGTGGGACTTGATCCCAGGACTCCAGGATCATGCCCTGGGCCGAAGGCAGAAGCTAAACCACTGAGCCACCCAGGGATCCCAGCAAATTTATTCTTGTAAGAAATACAGAACATAGAAAAATAAAGTTACATACCATGCTGTGGGAAAAAAAAGAAATAAAGAACAACTATTGTTAATACATTTTAAGCTCTACAAAAATTAAAGCTATTCTTTGACATAATAATGGTTATATATTTGAAAGAAATGTATAAATAAGCCACGCTGAAGTTTCCAAGGCAAACTATGTAGATTCAAAGGTTATAATTGCCTTTTATTTATTTTTTTAAAAATTTTTTTAAATTTTTATTTATTTATGATAGTCACACACACGGGGGGGGGGGGCAGAGACACAGGCAGAGGGAGAAGCCGGCTCCACGCACCGGGAGCCTGACGTGGGACTCGATCCGGGTCTCCAGGATTGTGCCCCAGGCCAAAGGCAGGCGCTAAACCACTGCGCCACCCAGGGATCCCCTATAATTGCCTTTTAAAGTAAAATTTGATTTGCTATGTTTCTTCAATCTTAAAATATAAAGATAAAATGGTGCCAGAAACTTTTTTAAAAATTATTTTATTTATTTATTTGAGAGAGAGAGAGAGAGAGAGAGAGAGAGAGAGAGAGAGAGAAAGCGAGCATGAATGGGGGGAGGGGGAGGCAGAGGGAGAAGCAAAATCCCCTCTGAGCAGGGAGCCCAATGTGGGGCTGAGTTCCAGGACCCTGAGATCATGACCCAAGCTGAATGCAGACATTTAACTGACAGAGCCACCTGGGTTCCCCTGCTGCCAGAACTTTTAACTGAGTTGACAAACTGTTGTTTTATGATATGTTAGAATATTATTTTGGTTGCCATGTCCCATAGCAATACAAGGGACACCATTTTAAAAAAAATTATTTTCAGCTGCATGGTAAATATGATTTACAACATCTCCTAGGTCAAAGTTAGTATCTACTCGTAAAAAAAGTAAACTGCAGTGATTTAATATTAATGGAAAGATGCTTGGGGAAAAGGATCTAAAATGTTACTATGAAAGTCTACGAAAAAAAAAAGTCTACGAATTTTTGTAATTGAAAATTTTATTGAGGGTGCCTGGGTAGCTCAGTCAATCATCCAACTCTGGATTTCAGGTCTTAATCCAGGGTTGTGAGTTCAAGCCCCATGTTAGGCTCTATACTGAGCATAGAGCCTATTTAAAAAAAAGAAAAAAAATATTGAAATAGTTCTAGATTCACATGGAGTTACAAAAAATAATATGGAGAGAACCCGCATACACTTTATACGCTTTTCCCAATGGTAACTTTTTATGAAACTATAGTGTTACGTCTTAGCCAGCCAGGATACTGACATTAATTCAATCAGGCAATTGTATTCAAATTTTACCACATTGACATGCAGTCCTGTGTGTGTGTGTTTGTGTGCGCGCGTGTGCATGAAGTTCTAGATATGATTTTATCACATGTGCAGGTTTGTGTATCTACCACCATAGTCAAGATACTAACTTACGGATTTGGAAACATTTTGTGATTTGGTATTAAATTGAAAAAACCAATGTGGAGGCTGCTGTATAAGTCAAGTGTTTACTTTTTGAAAAACATTTTTAAAAAACTTTTGAAATTTTTATTATCTGATTTTTTCCTACATCTTTAATATTGATATCTGAGGAAAAGTATCTGAAATTTACCTCAAAAGTGATATGTGCCTAGACAAGAAAGCACCATCTTCATATCACACCCTCTATTTGAGAAATTTGAGTTAGTGTTTCTGTCCACATTGGCTAAAGTAAGACCTGCCTCAAAACATGGAATAGCGGGATGCCTGGATGGCTCAGCGGTTGGGTGTCTGCCTTGGGCTTGGGGCATGACCCCGGAGTCCTGGGATCGAGTCCCACATCGGGCTCCCCTCAGGGAGCCTGCTTCCCCCTCTGCCTGTGTCTCTGCCTCTCTCTGTCTGTGTCTCTCATGAATAAATCAATAAATAATCTTAAAAAAATATGGAATAACATGTGATCACCACTTAAAGAGAGGAGTGTGTCACTAGCAGCACTAATAGCATTTTGGGTGTGGACTTGACTAACCCTAGGATTTTTCTGTCCTGCAGAGGCCTAGTACAGAGCATCAAGTGAGCATTTCTGGAACTCAGGCTTTCTAGACACAAAACAGGATTCCTCCCTCAGAACGCTGATCCGAGGATACTAGGTGGACATACCCTCAATAGAAAGGACAGGGGCAGCCCCAGTGGCGCAGCCGTTTAGCGCCGCCTGCAGCCCAGGATGTGATCCTGGAGACCGGGTATCGAGTCCCACATCGGGCTCCTTGCATGGAGCCTGCTTCTCCCTCTGCCTGTGTCTCTGCCTCTCTTTCTGTGTGTGTGTTTCTCATGATTAAATAAATAAATTAATCTTAAAAAAGAAAGGAATAGGACAGGACAGGATGGAGGCGGGGCTGAGGTGGCAGTTTTGTGGCTGTCTGGAGGTGAAGGAAAGGGGCCCTAGCAGGGGGAAGGTGGGAGGCAAGGCAGTGGAGATGGGCTTGATTGCACATTGTGCTGTTCCTTGTTTTGTATGTCTGTCCAGTGTACCACGCGGAGCATTTTGAAATTACTCTGATCTAGATTTTTAAGGGAGCAGGATTATTCTGCTAGAGATCAGGTTGGTCATTTAGGACCTTTACATTTTATCCTTGTCTTTCTTTTCAGCTCAGGCTGTGGTTACATTGTAAATGAAAGATCCAGCACTTGTACTTCTTGCAACAAAGATTCTTTGGAATTTAAATCTGTTTTTCTCAGCTTCCACTTGCTGATTGACCTCACTGACCACACCGGTACCCTCCATGCCTGCAGTCTCACAGGAGGGGTTGCTGAAGAAACTTTAGGCTGCACGGTAAGTAGCAGAAAAGAAATAATTCCAAGTTGAATTCTCTTCTCTCCAGGTATAGGTTATTTCAGTGAACAGTTGATAGAAATTAAGTCATTAATAAAGAGGTCTGGGGGTGGGAATAAAGCTTGATTTAAACACACATTGCTTTAATGGATGAATAATTGCATGATCACATGTGTTCAAATCACAGCTGATATTGCTGTTGGGTACAGAGGCAGAGGCTGTTGGCAGTGGGGGAGAAAGAAGGCACTTTTTAAATTTTTTTAAATTTATTTATGATAGTCACAGAGAGAGAGAGAGAGAGAGAGCGCGCCAGAGACACAGGCAGAGGGAGAAGCAGGCTCCATGCACTGGGAGTCCGACGCGGGATTTGATCCCGGGTCTCCAGGATCACGCCCTGGGCCAAAGGCAGGCGCCAAACCACTGCGCCACCCAGGGATCCCAGAAGGCACTTTTTAAAAACGATTATTTATTTATTCACGAGAGACACATACTGAGAGAGAGGCAGAGACACAGGCACAGGGAGAAGCAGGCTCCTCACAGGGAGCCTGATGTGGGACTCGATCCCTGATCCTGGGATCATAACCTGAGCTGAAGGCAGGCATCCAACTGCTGAGTCACCCAGGCATCCCAAGAAGACACTTTTTATATAGTCCAGTAACTGTGGGTACAACAGCACACTGGAGGGACACCTGGGTGGCTCAGTGGTTGAGTGTCTGCCTTTGACTCAGGGCGTGATCCTGGGGTCCTGGGATCGAGTCCCCCATTGGGCTTCCTGCATGGAGCCTGCTTCTCCCCCTGCCTGTGTCTGCCTCTCTCTCTCTCTGTGTGTCTTTCATGAATAAATAAATAAAATCTTAAAAAACAACAGCATCAGCACTGGAGATAGTGATCAGTTGAGGCAGAGGGAGGGTTTGGTGGTATTCCACCAACTAGCTGAAGGAAGTCACCAGAGTCAGAACACACGTGGAGCCCTCCTCCACCAGGACAGCAGCAGACACTTAGTCATGTGTGCATGACAGGCACCTGGTGTTTCTCCTTAGCGCCAGCACCTGTAGTTTACCGTGAGCCCTCAGCCCCGCTTGGTTTCTATTTTGTGAAGGGGAGTTTTCTGGGCTGAGGCACCTGACTGCCCTCAGACATTCAGTTTACGGATGGAAGGCTTTCTGACCTTATCTCCTCCTTTAAGAGAATTGAGTTGTAATTACTATAAATAAAATTCCCTTCGAGTGCACAAAGTCAAGTTTCACATTATTGTTGAGTTATTTATATGGACTTTGGAAATATCTGCTTGATTGTTTTAACCAGGTAAATGAGTTTCTTGCAATGACGGATGAACAGAAAACAGCATTGAAGTGGCAATTTCTTCTGGAAAGAAGCAAAATTTATTTAAAAGTTAGTGCATTTTATAGTACTATGCCATTCTATATATTCAAGTAATAAAAAAAATCCTAGAGTCTGACCTAATAAATTAGGGCATTTGTTATTTTTAACAATAACAAATAACAATTTACAATAATTTTTAACAATTCCCAGATATACAGAAGGATTTGGTTAATGTGGAAACAATGCAAGTAGTCAGGTGGGTTTTTTGTTTTTGTTTTTGTTTGGCGTAGAATAAAAGGATTCCACCTGACACCAGAGGAATAGACCAACAGCAGTGCCTGGCTGACTCGGTAGAGCATGTGACTCTTGATCTTGAGGTCATGAGTTTGAGTCCCACGTCCAATATAGAGATTACTTAAAATCTTGGGGAAAAAACAAAGAAGTAGATCAACAAAGATTATATCTGTTTTGTTAAGTCCAAGGCAGGGCCCTGGGCTGTAGGGTCAAAGCTGATATCCCTGTCCCCCTGCCGTGTGACAGTGCTTCTCACTTCAGTGAGTAGTATCAGATGGCACAGTCACATGCCACATGCTTGGATGCAGGGGAGAGACGGGAGAGTCAGAATCCCAGCTCCACCACTCCTCAGCCTCTGTGACCCGCTAGAACTCTGTGATCCTACAACTCTAGTTGGAGCAGCACTAGCAACCCTTCAGTGTGGGAGGATCATAGAATCTTAATACTTAAGAGGAAAAAAGGGGAGACAAACTCCTTTTGTTTTGCAAGTTCAGAAAATGGGACCAAGAAATGTTGCTGCTTGTGTCAGGTCACAGATGAGATAGGGCTATAGACTGCATCATCTCTCTCCTTCTATCAGTCTCAAATGTTTTCTCCTTTACACTCTTAAAAGTTTTCCAGCTCTTGTCGAAGAGAGTTATATCTGTCAGTATTTCTGCATTAGAACATGACGTTGAGAATAATTTAAAACCTGTCCATGAGCCCACATGCCATTAACAGTCAGCAGTGATAACACGTCACATCCCACAGCCTCTAGAAAACCACAGTGTGTTCTATGCATGAGAGTGAGAAAGGCAAACAGCATCTTAGTATAAAATCAAGAAAATAGTTGTGATCTCATAGGTACTCTGAAATAGTCTTGGGTAACACTGCACCTGCTCTAGTTCAGCCTCAGAAGCAGGTGTGCCCATTGCCCATGGCTTCTTTACTTGGGGCCTTATGTGCATCCCAGTAGGTTGCAGACATGGAGTTACCTATGGCCTCGCAGATATTTCTAGCACATTGGTTCGAGGCCTCTTTGTTAGTAGGCTGAAGGGGGGAAATTGCAGTAATATACTGGATCTTTTCCACCATTAGCATGGATCCATCTACTTACTGTCTGCCCCTAAATCAGAGTATTCTCAGATCTTTGACCAACTTTGTTTTCCCTCCAAACCAGAGGTTCCAGTTGTTAATGAGTTTGACCAATTTGAATTCATGGCAAGTTATTTATAGTTTTCCTAACTAGATCTAAACATAAAAAAATTGGGACGCCTGGGGCTCAGTTGGTTGAGCATCTGCCTTTGGCTCAGGGCGTGATCCTGGAGTTCTGGGATTGAGTCCCACATCCAGTTCCCAGCAGGGAGCCTTCTTCTCCCTCTGTCTATGTCTCTGGCTCTCTCTGTATGTCTCTCATAAATAAATAAATAAATAAATAAATAAATAAATAGATAGATAAAATAAACATAACAAAAATTGCTGTAAAAAAGAGACATTGTAGCTTTCCAAAGGACATGTTTAAAAGGTATTTAAGTCAGATTTAACAGATTTTAAGCAGATATAAAACAATTCTATCAGAAAATGTAGTAAAGATCATGAGAATCTAACAGTTTGAATTATTTTAAATCAGTTAAAATATAACATGTAATTTAAAAAGTAAGAACTTGGGATGCCTGGATGGCTCAGTGGTTGAGCACCTGCCTTTAATCTGGGGCATGATCCTGGAGTCGCAGGATTGAGTCCCACATCGGGCTCCCTGCATGGAGCCTGCTTCTTCCTCTGCCTATGTCTCTGCCTCTCCCTCTGTGTCTCTCATGTCTCTATTCTAAATAAATAGAATCTTTTTTTAAATAAATAAAATCTTTAAAAAAAGAACTTACATTGTTCTGCTAATATGACAAAAACAAAGTATCGCTATAGAGATAGGTCATTTTATATATTTAGCATATTACAATTAAAAACAATGGCTACTTAAAAGGGTTCAGTTGGAGGGATTTCAAAGCAAGGTGTTTTAATGTCTTTTTTAAAAGATTGGTTTGTTAAAGAGAGTGAGAGAGCATGAGTTGGGGGAGAGACTGAGGGAAGAATCTGAGGCAGACTCCCTGCTGAGTAGAGCCCAATGGAGCTTGATTCCAGGATTCTGAGATCATGACCTGAGCCGAAACCAAGAGTCTGAAATACTCAACTGACTGAGCCACCCAGGTGCCCTGGTATTTTCATGTTTTAGAATACATGGTGATAGCAACACAAGTCCTTGTAAGTCTGATATAGTATCAAAGAATGATTTCCAAAAAGGATTAAACCATGACTCTCATACAAAAATAAAATGGATATGCCAAAGATTTAATTCATTAATCAATAAAGAAACTAGGAAATGGTTCTTAAAAAAATGATTTCAAAGAGGAACTCAAAGACTGGACGCAGAGGCTGAAGTCAGCAGTGCAAAATTGGGGTGATCCATAAAGGGCAAAACCCAACGTTTCCTCAGGGTGGAGCTGACCATATCCTCACAGGGACAGAATTCCTTTGGATTTCCTGGAGCATGACTGCCATTTGCAACACTACTGTTTTCTACAGCAGACTTTTGAAAATAGCTCAGCTAGGCCAGGAAAGGTGCTACAGAATGAGGCCACCAGACTGTGGGAGAGCGTGCCACTGAAAGACACCTACATACCCTCATTGCCCACCTCACCCTTCCCAGTGTTTCCTGATATTAGGCTGTTTTCCTGTTAGTCTTTGGAATTAGCATGGCCAGCAGACCTACCCTTCCAGTCTATGTTAAATAAAATGTTGGTGAGAGTGCTTTGTTAAATATAAAAAATAAGACATCGTTATTAATAAACTGCATCATCACATCCCCATAGTCTAACAGACAGGTTACTACCACAGGTTAGCTGTGTCACAGCTGCTAAGTGAACACACTTTATTTTATATATTTATTTAAGTCATCTCTACACCCAACATGGGGCTCAAACTCACGACCAAGAGATTGAGAGTGGTATGCTTTTCCAATGGAGCCAGCCAGGTGCCCCTTGAACACATTTTAAACCCTTCTTTTGTAGGTGTTGGATTTGAAAATCCAACTTCCCTACCAGAGAGAAATATGAGAAAAATAACAGATTTTCACAAAATCGCTGTCAGGAGCCAGATCTGTGATTTCTCTCCCAAACTCCTACCAAGGTGAACTCTCTTCAGTCTTACAGCTGTCACTGTGGTTTATGCTTACACTGCAGAACAGCTCATTGTACTTGTTTACTGCTTTCTCTGTTGTGGTCTATGGTTTTCAGCTTTATAAACATGGTAATTTTTAAAGTTAACTCTCTCTCTCTCTCTCTCTCTCTCTTCTCCCTACAGTTTTTTTTATCACACAGAGCAAGGGGCGGATTGAGAATTAGTGTGCTCTCATGTAAACTCGCAGACCCTATTGAGGCAAGTAGGAACTTGTCTGGAGGAGGAAATATTTAAAACAAAATACTTTAAACTCTGGACAAGAATATGAGTTTCAACTCTCTTGAAAGTGGAAAATGCATTTGAAAATTATGGATAAAATTGTATTTTGTTCAAACATGGTAAAAATGTTTCTATAAGTTGCTATTATGTTTCCTTCTGGAGTTGATTAGGAGATAAGTCTTAAAATCTCTCATCTGACCCAGCTCCTTTCTTGAAAGGCCTTTTCTACTGACTTGGCCCATTCCCCCCCAACTTGGAAAATGTTTGCATGAATTAATAAACAAGTTTAATCTTCCCCAGAGATATCAGTGATTTAAGTTCCTTTCCCCACTGTCTTGTTTCCCAGGAGAAAGATCAGATCCTCCAAAAATGACCTCCCTGGAGCTTGGCAGTGGCTGAGACTGCTCTCCAGGAGCTGGTGGGGCACTGGGTGGGAACAGCGGAAGCCCACGGGCAGTGCTGGGCAGCAGCTTTGAACACCAAAGACTTTCTCTGATCCTTGTCTTCTCTGATGACACATGGGGCCACCCAACGCTTGTGAAAGTTGGTTGACCAGGGGCAATATGTGTGAGTCTGAATCAACTGAGAGGAGACCAGCCTCAAAAGTTCTAGGAGTGGCACCAGTCTGGGACCTGAAAGGGTGGGGCTGCTCTGACAGGACGCTGGCCCCCCACTCCACCCACCACACCCTCCTCGTCAAAGCCCTGGAGCGCCCTGCTCAGCCCCACGCCATTCCAAGACACTTGCTGCAGGGCACCGGCCTACAAGCCCGGTCATTGCTGGCCTACGGTCTGGGAGGTTTGGCACTTCCATCACCCACCACAGGAGAGAAAAACAAAAAGTACGTATCTGAAACTTTGAAGGCGGTATTGGGAGATGAACTCATTAGTAGTGTTGTCTCTGGCTTTTACCATAGGCAGCTGTGGCAGAGGGGCATGATGGACCCTCGTGTGTCCAGATTGTGGTAATAAATGAGGAAATGGAGGACCTGACCTAAGTGTGCAGTCAGGGAGTGCGCCCGATGAAGAGCTTCCTTCCTTGCTCCCTTGGGGCAGGGTATAGGAGTATCGGGCAGGGTGACTCCAGAGGGCAGACAGGGAAAGAAGGCGGGAGAGTGCTGGAGTGGGAGGGCTCAGGCCAGGGAGGAGAGAGAAGCAAGGGTGCCCACCTGGTGGCCACATTCACACTCCTGGTTGATTAAGCAAGAGTGGGTGTCCAAGAGCACAGGAGACCAGGGAGGACAACTGGCCCAGACGGTGTGTCAGGAATGGCTGTGCCAGGCCTCCTGGTGCCCTGACCTCTGGCAGTAGGTCCCAAAGCACCAGTGCCTGGACCACAGGGGCCGGTAGCAGCCATGTGGCCTCCTACCGTCTAGGGGCCTCAGCTGCCCGCTGGCCTCAACAGCATACTGCAGGTGCTCACTTAGGCATTCCAAGTTAGCTTCTGTGGCATACCGCAGCACGGCCTGTGGGCCCGAGCAGGGTGGCCGAGGGCTCCGAATGGCCTCTTCACTGCTACCAGCACTTAACCAAGGATGCCCCTGCCCATCACTGGAGGGCCCCCGATTGCTTATTTCATTTGACGCCACAGGGCTAGGGGTCAGGCCACGTTGGATCAAAGGGACTTCCCAAAGTGAAACTTACACATTTATGGAATAAAGATGACAACTTGGTTGATATCTAAAACTTGTGAATTAGCCAGAATTCATGCAGTCAGAGATGTAAGAGAGAAGCATCCCATTCCATTGCTACAAAGCACACAAATCCCTGTTGGGGACCCACACTTCTCACTGCTCCCCAGGAGCTGCTTTTCCCGGTCCTGGCATCTTCCCACCTGCAGGTTTGCTTTGCTTTACGTAATAATGTCGTGGCTGTAGGATTTTTCGTAATTTATCAGTGGTTGCTCTCAGAAGATCTTCCTTTCCTAATTCTGCTATGCTCGTGGCAGAAGCACAATGTATATCCGTCCATCTGTCACTCGTCTAGAGGACCCCTGGGGTTTTGCTTTTTAAATATATTGTATTATAAAGTTTTATATGTTTATTGTAGAAAAATTACAACATAACAGGTAATAAAAAAGGAAAAGCCCATACTCTCCCAACCCCAAAGTCTTTAACTGGCAGGTGATGCATTCTGTACTTGTGTAGATGTTTTCGCTGATGTTGTTTCTTGTGGCAAAATATACATCACATAAAATTGACCATTTTAACCATTTTTAGGTGTACAATTAAGTGACCTTAAATACATTCACAATGCTGTGCAACAATCAGCACCTCCATTTCCAGAAATTTTCATCTTACCAAACTGACAGTGTCCCCATTAGACAATCACACTCCATTTCTGCTTCTCCACTCCTGGTAACCTCTGATCTGCTTTGTGCCTGTGAGCTTGACGACTTGTGTGTGGCTTCTTTCTCTGAGCATGATGTGTTTGAGGTTCCCCATGTCACAGCAGGTGTCAGCACTTCCTTCCTTCTTAGGGTTGAGTAGTTTCCCACTGTATGGTTGGACATTTTGTCTACCCGTTCATCTGTGTGTGGACATCTGGGCTGCTTTCGCCTTTTGGCTTTTGTGATTGGCCAATCACAGCTGCTGTGAGTAGGTGCTTTCGAGCACCCTCATGTTTCTGTGTCTTTCCTGTCATATGTATTCATCTTTCTTTGTTAAAGCATATGGTTTGCAAGTACGGGTTATTCCATAATCTGCGTTTACATTTAATAATTTGTAATAAACCTTTGTACATAATTCAACATTTGACCTAACTTTAGTGGCTATATATCATTTCATTATATGAACGTAGGGTACTGAAGGAAATCAATCCAATACTGTTAAACAGTCAAGATGTTCCCCACTTGTTGCTATTGTAAACAACAGCTGTAGCTACCTTTCTGTCCACATTCTTAATTATTTCCTTGGGATAAGTTTCTAGACATTAAATTGTCTACAATTGCTACAATTTTATTGCTACAATAATATTAAATTGCTACAATAATATTAAAATTGCTACAATAATATTAAAAGCTAACAATGTTGAGTTAACATTGTTGACAGACACTGTAATAAACACTCATAGTGCCCAACTTATACAAGGACTGTTAGTTTGCCCATTTTACAGATGGGACATGAAGGCCTGGCTGTAAGAGGTAGAAATGGAGGTGTTTGTGTGGGCAGGCCCTGTTACTGCAGGCTCACACTCCATGTGCTGCTTCCAGGATGGTCTCTGGCTCTGAGCTTCTCCATCTGTGGTTCTTTTTGTAAATGGAGATTACTATACCAACTTCTCTTGGTGACTGTCAACACTGAGTACATCCATATATGTCAAATGCTTAGACTCACACACCCAGTACATGATCAGGGAGTATGTTATTATAAACGTTGAAGTGTAGCAGTTTCACTGACACTCATATTTGGCAATATTTTTGTCATGTGAATTCTATTCTGCTTTTATAGTTTGATTTTTTTCTTCTATAGTTGATTTTCTTTCTTTTTTTTTTTTAAAGTAGGCTCTATGCCTACGGTGGGCCTTGGACTCATGACCCTGAGATTAAGAGTTGTGTGCTTCAGGTGCCAGGATGGCTCAGTCAGTTGAGTGTCCAACTCTTGGTTTCAGCTCAGGTCCTGATCTTAGGGTCATGATTTCAGGGCTGTGAGATTGAGCCCCGACTAGCTCTGGGCTCAGCGAGGAGTCTGCTTGAGGTTCTTTCTCCCTTTGCTGCTCCCCACCCCAATGCTCTCTTTCTCTGTAAAAAATAAATAAATCTTAAAAAAAAAAGGATCATAGCCATGATACCCAGCATTGGCTAGGGTGTGCATAAAAAGGTATTCTTAAACACTCATGACAAGTACAAATTCATGTGTCATATTCCCATGGAAAGTTGGCAAATACTTTATTTTAAAGATTATTTATTTATTCATTCATGAGAGACACAGAGAGAGGCAGAGACATAGTCAGAGGGAGGAGCAGGCTCCCTACAGGGAGCCCAATGTGGGACTCGATCCCTGAACCCTGGGATCATGCCTTAAGCCAAAGGCAGATGCTCAACCCTGAGCCACCCAGGCATCCCGGCAAGCACATAATTTAAAGTGCAAATGATTTAACCTATTTCATGTCTATGCCTTTCCCTAGGGAAATAAATGCCATATGACATATGTGGAGGATGTTCCTTAAGTCACTGTTTCTAATAGCAAAACATTTGAAGCCTATGCAGCCTGTAGGGATATTGGCTCCACCCAGATCCCCGACTCTCAGGCACACACCTAATCCTTCAGCTTCTCTGAGACATGGGGAATGACCTGGGGGCAGTTATGGGAGGAGTGGGGCCAGATTCAGGCAGGGACTTCTCCTTGGAATGGTCAGTGGACTGAAGCTCTCTGCTAGGTCTGAGATCACCATGTTCTTAGTTTGCTTTCTGCTATTTCTGCTTCCTCTCCATTTTTCTGAGTGCCCCTTGAGTAAACCATCTGAACAAGACCCTACCTTAGCTCTGCCTCTGGGGTTTTCAGTCTAAGACAGCATTAAAAGAGATTATGAAAATCTATATTCACTGTCCTGGAAAGATGTTCACAGTATGTTTAGTGGATGTAGAATACTCATTTTCCATAAAAGCTCAATAAACATTAAAAAAAAAAAGGTGTAGAAGGGATGCCTGGGTGGCTAGTAGTTGAGCTCCTGCCTTCAGCTCAGGTCGTGATCTAGGAGTCCTGGGATCGAGTCCCCCATCGGGCTCCCTGTGGGGAGCCTGCTTCTTCTGTCTATATCTCTGCCTCTGTCTCTGTGTCTCTCATGAATAAATAAAATCTTTTTTAAAAAGTGTAGAAGAACACATATGAAGCCATACATGCTACATGAACTAATATTATGGAATTTTCTTTCTTGCGTGTGGTAGTGGTATTGCATCTATATAGGAGAAGGTCCTTATTCTTAGGAGATACATCCTGGAAGGGTAGAGTGTTTCTGCAACTCATTTCCAGTTTTCCAGACAAGTGTGTTCAGGGATAGTATGTGTGGAGAGGCAGAGAAAACAATATAACCAATGTTAACAATTACTGAATCTAATGAAGGGCACGTAGAAGTCATTGTATTAGTCTTTCAACTTTTTAGTAGGTTTAAATTTATTCAAAATTAAAAGTTGGGAGAAAATGTGCCTCCTGGGTGCTAGGATTACTATGACTTTAGCAAGATCAGGAATTGTAGGAATTGGTATCTCTGTTTTTTTATTGTCTCAGCCAAGGACTTTGTGTGCTACACCTGCAATGCTGTTGTCAGCGGTTTGTGACAAAGCTTGTGCCACCACTGTGGTGAACATTGACCTCTCTGGGTGCTGGCTTGTGCCGCCCAAGGGGGCTGCATGTGAACCTGCTCCTGCCTCACGCTTTTTGGCTTGCTTTGAAGGCTGTCAGCTTGGTGGGCTTGTGTCAGCTGAACCTCGTGTCTGCTAGTTAGACTAGTACAGGTTCAATATGAGCATACCCTTGAGTCAGCTCTTCTGCTGACAGGAACCTAGCCCAAGGAAATAACTACAAATGTGCTGATTCTACTAGCAAATGATTAGAAATGGTTTCCATTACCAAGAATGGAGGACTGATTTCAGATTCTTATGCAGCCACCAAAGACTGCTGCAGGAATGTGCCAGCTGACATAGAAAGATAGGCACCACACACAGTGAGGAGAGTAGGTTAGGAAATTGAGTTATGAGCATGTCGTATTTTAAGAATTGCAATTACACCCACAGATCTGGAAGGTACACTAAATGATTCACCTTGTCTGTCCCTGGGTGAATGGAATTTTGGATGTTTTTCCTTATTCATATTTTTGAACTCATCTGTGATGAACACATTGCTTAAGCAATTAAAATAAGAAACTTGATTAGAAGAGAAAACAAGATAGTGTGACATTTAATACACAAGTCCAGTCCTGGCATTCTTCACAGTAAATTATAAACTAAATGTGGGGTTGCCTAATACCTACACATTTGAATCTTCTTATAGATCTACCTGCAAGATGCAGCCTGCGCTGTGGTCAAGACTTCACTTTCTGATCATAGGAAAGCTAGATTACAACTTGGTTCTGTCCCTCAGCTGAGTGACCATAAAGCCAGGCTGGCTTGCCTCTAAATCTACATCTTAACGTTTAACAGGGATGGTAGTAGTATCAATCTCACAGCTTTTTAAGGGTTAAATAATACATGGAAAGCTCTTGGCCCAGTACCTAGCAGTACTAAGGGCTCAGTAAATGTGAGCTATTATTATTATTTAAAGACTTATTTACTTATTCATGAGAGACAGAGAGAGAGAGAGAGAGAGAGAGGGGGGCAGAGACACAGGCGGAGGGAAAAGCAGGCTCCTTGAAGGGAGCCCGATGTGGGACTTGATCCTGGATCCTGGGATCATGACCCTAGCCGAAGGTAGGCCCCTAACCACTGAGCCACCAGGCATCCCAATGTGAACTATTATTAAATTAGACGTCCTTGCCTTTCTGTGAGGGGCCAGCAGATATCTTGTTTACATATCCAGCAGGAGCCCCTGCCTAAGCCTCAAGGACACCACGGGGCACTGTGCATCTTACACAGACTTTTTTTGTTTTTTAAGATTTTTATTTATTTGAGAGAGAGAGAGAGAACACAAGCAGGGACAGCAGCAGAGGGAGAGGGAGAAGCAGGGCCTCAATCCCAGGACCCTGGGATCACGACTGGGCCAACTGACTGAGCCACCCAGGGGCCACTTGCCTGGACTTTTTGTCCTCACAGCAGGTTGGAAAAAAAGTAGCTCTCCCAGGCCAATGAACTTCCTTGTCTCTGGTTGGGGAAGAGGTGCTGATTAACTCTATTAATAGAACACAGTGCTCCAGAGGCCAAAGGTCAGTGACCAAGGTCTGAAGCCCCCTAATAAGGAACTGTCCTTCCTAGCCACTGCAGGAGGGATAAAAGTACACTTTTAGGCCAAACAAAACATAGCATATTTATTTGGAAAACAATCATTTCAAAATTATTTTCCAAACTCAAAATGTACAGGCCATGGTACAAATGAGTGAGGTTGCCATTAATCGTTCACTTATTTTTTTTAATCGTTCACTTATTAAGTACAATTTTATTTATTTATTTTTTTTATTTTTATTTTTATTTTATTTTATTTTTTTTTTAGAAATTCTTTTTTTTTTTCTTTTTTTTTTTTTTTTAATTTTTATTTATGATAGTCACAGAGAGAGAGAGAGAGGCAGAGACACAGGCAGAGGGAGAAGCAGGCTCCATGCACCGGGAGCCCGATGTGGGATTCGATCCCGGGTCTCCAGGATCGCGCCCTGGGCCAAAGGCAAGCGCCAAACCGCTGCGCCACCGAGGGATCCCCTAAGTACAATTTTAAATTAACTGATTATGTGAAGGAGTGTTTATCCATATTTCCATGATGAGAAGCACTTGAGAATACTGAAGATTAATTCTGCTAATTAATACAATAGGCTTGGTATGGGCCAGTAACGTGGAAATTTTTATTTTTACAAATACCTTCAGATGATCATCATGATTGAGGAAATTTAGAAAACATGATTTTCAAAATTCCTTTGCATATTTTAAGTTTTGAATTACTGATCTCAGAACATCCCAATGAAAAGTCTTATCCGGTCCAGTTCTAGGAAAGGAAAGTAAGTCTTCTGAACATTTGGTTTGATAAATAAATTCTCCTCTTTGGAAGCATAACAAAAACTTTAATGTGGTTGTTTCCTAAAAGACAATCTTCTTACCATTTCTGGCCCAGCTTTTCTACATCACATTTTCCTTGAAGGGTCCATCTTGCTGAAGTCCTAACGATCCAATTAAATCACAGTTTAAAAATTCAGTTTCTTATTGCAAAAGAAAAGAAGAATTAGATTCTTATTAAAGGATTGTCACATTTAACTAGCTTTGCCGGTTTCTGTCCAGCTCCCTCCTCTCCTGAGAACTCAGTAAGTTACGGTGCTTTGCGCAGACTCAACACCGGGGCCCCTGCACCTGGAATCTCATACTGACCACCCCGTGTATGCCAGCCTGGATCTCATCGTTTTCTTTAACGGGCCCGACTCCCTTCGGCGTCCCGGTCAAGATAATATCTCCTTCTTCCAGGGTCATGATCTTGGACACGTAGCTGATAATGTAGGGGATGGAAAAGATCATGGAGGAGGTGTCACCCTCCTGCCTGAGTTCGCCGTTGACCTTGAGCCAGAGCTTCAGGTTGTGAGGGTCCGGGACCTTCTCTTTGGGCACGAACGCGCTGACCGGGCAGGAGGTCGTGAAGCTCTTGGCCAGCGTCCAGGGCAGCCCCTTCTTCTTGCACTCGTCCTGCACGTCCCTGGCGGTCATGTCCAGGCACAGGGCATAGCCGGCCACGTAGTCCATGGCGGCGACCTCGGGGACGGCGCGGCCGCACCTGCCCATCACCACGCCGAGCTCCAGCTCGTGGTGCAGGTTGCGGGTGTAGGCCGGCATGAGGATGGCCGAGCCCTCGGGGGCGTAGGCGGTGGACGGCTTCAGGAAGAGCACCGGCTCGGCCTGCACCTCGCTGCGCATCTCCCTGGCGTGGTCTGCGTAGTTCCTGCCCACGCACACGATGTTCTTCCCCCACTCCCAGAAGCGCGACAGCGGCCTGTGGGCGGCCATGTCCCGGACGGGCGCCCCCGCATCACGTGACTCCGCCGGGACCCAGTCACCTGATGCCTACGGCGCCCCGGAGAGAACCAACTACCTCAGGGCGCCGTCCCGTCTGCGACGTCCGTTCCGCTCTGCGCTCCCCCGGGTGCTGGGCGGTCGCGGCGCTTACGCTCCTGGCAGCCGTGCGCAGCGGCTGCGGCGGGACAGCGGCCTGGCCCCTGGGGAGAGGCGCTTAGGCCCTGACGCGGCGCCCCGGCCCCCCGCCCCGCCTCCGGCCCCAGCCCTGGCCGGCACTCAGGTCAGCGGCAGCCCGGCAGGCAGCGGGCACGGGTTTGGACGCGGACGCTCATTGGCCGGCTTCTGGGGCGGGGGCGCGAGGCGGGCTCCAATTGGCTGGAGGGCGGGGCGGCGGGCGCCGATTGGCCGCGGGGCGCCGCCGGCGTGTGCGGCCCGCCCGCCCCCCGCCCCCCGCCCCCGCCCCCGCCGCCCGCCGCCAGCCGCCCCGGGTCATGGTGCTGGGCTGCGGGCTGCTGGGCCGCCGGAGCCTCGCCGCGCTGGGAGCCGCCTGCGCCCTCCGCGGCCCGGGTAGGTGGGCCGGCGCCGGCGGGGCGGCGGGGTCGCGGCTGACAGGGCCGGGGGCGCGGGCGCGGGGCAGGGGTCGCCGGCGTTGGGGCCCGGGAACGGCGGTTGGGGCGGCAGCGGGCGCGGGGCGTGGCCGGGGGCTTTGCGGGCCGCCGCGGGCTGACGCGGTTTTCTGCCGCCACAGGCTCGTAACCCTCGGCGGCGTCCGGGCGCGCCGGGTGGGGTCGAGCAAAGGCCCTGCGGCCCTGGAGTCCGACTTTGCGGGGCCTGAAGGCACGGTGGGGTCGCTGGCCAGCTGGGGGGTGCTGGCCGCCTGGTGCCGGTTCGGAGCCGCGCGCCCCGGGACTGCGCCCCGTCTCCACCTGCCGCCCCGGGCGCTCGCAGGCCGGGTCCCCGCGGCTGGGCCTCCCTGGCCCCGCGCTGAAGCCGCGGTGGGCTCACCGGCGGGGCTGCGCTTCCAGCCCTCAGCTTCCTGCCGGGTCACCTCTTGCTTTGCTGGAATGAATATTTTGACCTTGATTTTGAAATCTCCTTTTCTCTATTTCCTGATCTCTTATCTGGCTGATGTGGCACTAGGGGCAGTAGGTTGACCCGCGTCTTAGGGAGGTGGTGAGCCGGCAGGCTGGCGACCCACATAGCAGTGGTCAGGGAGACGGCGCTGCCCTTGGCCACCTCACTGAAAGCCCTCAAGGTTCGGGAGTGGATCAGGCGTTGCCGTTAAGTCGGGGACACCCCTCCGAGTGCCAGGGGTACGACGTTTGCCTCCCGAGTCAGGCGGGCGGAGAGTGTAAGTGGGACCGTAGCGAATTGGCAAGACTGTGGCCGCCTCATTCAGAAGGGAGCCGGGTCCCAGCCGTCGGTGCCCTGCAGAGGGATGGGCCCAGTTCAGAAGGCAAACAAAACGTGCGCCAGGACGCATGTGCCCAGGACGCGCCGGGCTATATAGGCTGCTGTTCGGTGCACTCTGCTTACACAAAAGGTCGCAGTTGCAAAACTGACCTGGAAGTATTTCTCGGGCATATCATTTTTGGAAATGGAACAAGGGTTCTGGGGCGGCTGCAGAAATAACTAAGTTCCCCAGGTTCCCCAGGAGAGCCTTCATAGTAGGATATCATCCCGTTCCCGTCGCTGGGGCTGTGCCCCTGTCCCAGACTCGCAGCACAGGTCTGTGTAGCCCTGCTTCCCCTCCCTAACCCCCAGGATGCACGCCACACACTGGCCCGCAGTCCTCCCTGGGCTCCGGGGAGGCGGAGTATCGCAGACCCTGGTCATACAAAAGTGTTTGCTTTGCTGTGCACGGGGAGAGGGCCTGGAAGATGCCCAGCTGGCCGTGCAGGGGAGGGGCATTGGAGATCTGTGTGGACGCTTGGAAGCTGCAGTTCAGACAGCTTCTCTGGCTGTCGCAGATAAGGCTGAAGTCAGCAGTAGGCGGCCCCGGGCGATGTGGCCTGTCAGGCAGTTGGCCCTGCCTGCGTTCTGGATGCCTTGGGCCAGAGGCCCCCATCCTGGCACCTCCCCCAGAATTCCATGGCTGTCTTCTGTCACCTTTTGTGGTGCTAACCCCTTTCACATTAAGACTTAAAGTATTGTTGGGGCCTCTGTGAGTTTTTAGATGGGATAGGAGTTTCATTGTTGAAAATATTTTGGCACCTGACTCCGTGGTGGAGGATGCTTTGGCTCTTGCTCACTCTTGACATACCCTGGCAGAGTCCTTGGTTCAACTGGGTGGTGAGTCTGTGTCCTACACCACTGAATCTGGAACAGGTGGCCATCTCTCCCATGTCTCAGGCCCTGGTGGGGTTTGTGCATTATCCAAACTTCGAGTTCTCGCCTCTGAAAGTGAATATTGTTTCCTTCTCTGGCTGGAGGCCTAGGAAGGGGCAGAGGTCAGAGTGCACATGACTCAGGCTCTGTTAGCCCAGAGTCCTGCTCGGCACTCGTCCCCAGGCTCCCTCTTTGCGGTCTTTCTGGCACTGGTCAGTCCTGACAGTGGTTTGAATCACAGCCCTCTTAGAACTCTCCAGAAAGAAAGAAGCCATATCCGTGAATATGCATGTGAAGGATTTTCTGTGTTTTCCTTAACAGATGTGGTAAAATGAGGATATTGTCCTCTTACCAAAGGAGCTTAGGAAACCTGACCCGGCGAGCCTCCCAGGTTGCTGCTCTCGCGGGTCACTTGTCCTGGGTGCAGGGCTTGTCTGTCAGCCTCGCCTGGGACGGCCTCCCAGGGACACTGACGGAGCTGCGCTTTGCCCTCAGGCCCAGCCCTGCCGGGAGCCCTCCTGTATCACACCGACTCGCAGAAGAGCGTGACCGTGGAACAGGGCACCATGAAGGTTGAGTTACTGCCTGCGCTGACCGACAACTACATGTACCTGATCATCGATGACGAGACCAAGGAGGCTGGCGTGGTGGACCCGGTGCAGCCCCAGAAGGTGGGAGTCGGGCCGCAGCCCCAGGCCAGCCCTGGCTAGGGTGACAGCCGCAGTGTCCTCGTAGCTTGCCTGAAGCTCAGCACAAACCAGTCCACTTGGTTTTTGGACACCGCTAGCGCCCAGACTCTCTGCCATGGGGCAGGAGGCCCGCGAGGGGTGGAGGCCACCAGAGGCTTGGGCGAGGGGAGAAACGGGCTTCTGTCTGTCCAGTTGCTGGGAAGCAGGAGCGCCCCTCAGCCCTGCCCTGGGGAGGGGGCACCTCGGCTGCAGGGTTCGTGGCCGGCACTGAGCTGCCAGCAGGGTCAAGAGAGAAGAGGGCCTCCTTCCCCCTGCTCTCCTGGAGCAGAGGCAAGTGGGCAGCGGCAGAACAGGGCCCAGCCCCTCCTGGCGAAGCCCAGGCTCTGTTGGGCTCCCCTATGGCCTGTCCGGCCAGCACTGGGAGTGTGACCACGGCCGGTGTCTTGCCTCACCTTTGGTTGCAGGTTGTAGAAGCGGTGAAAAAGCACGGCGTGAGGCTGACCACAGTGCTCACCACCCACCACCACTGGTAAGCGCTTACCAGCCGGGGTGCTTGGGCCCGACAACTAGGGCCGTGTGCACCTGCCGCATGCGCCTGGGGCCGGCATCCCTGGGGGGGTCAGGCACTTGCAGGCTCCATGGGCCCTCCCTCCAGGTGGAGGCCCTAGGGATCGGGGTCCTGGAAGCCCTTGCCCCTCCAGCTGTGTTCTCTGTGCGGCTGAGTGTTGGCCCCCAGCGGGATTCTGAGCCAACTTGGGGGTGCCAGCCCCTGTGCTGCTGCCCTGCATCCTTGGCCCGGGCCGTGGGCTCCATGGGGAGGGCCTCCAGCAGCATGTTGGAAGGCTCCTGGGCTTGTGTGATGGGAGACTGGCCTTGATGTCAGGGAATAAACTCATCTAGACATTAGTGTTTTTAAAAAGCCAGCATCTGTATTTGGAGAGGTTGTAGTTTTTGAAATTTGAAGGTAAGGGATGAAAGAAACACCACTGTTTGGGTTTTAGGGCTAGAGCTGCTTGTCCAAGACCCCCATGTGGGGTTTTTGAGACTTTTGAGGCTCTTTATAGCTAGAAAAAAATATTTATTTGGCTCTGAATTTTCTTTTCCAAATAAGAAAGGGTCAGCCACGGTCTCCTGTGGGGAAGTCCTGGGGGTGTCCTGGGGGCTTGGACTGGCCAGAGTTTGTTCAATGGTGGCCACTTCTTGGTTGATGTCACTGAGGTATAGCCCCGGGGCATCAGGTGTTAATTCCTGAGTGGCGGGTGGGAGCAGGTGGCAGTCTTGCCCTTGGCTGCTGTGCTTGCTTTCTGGAGGCCGTCTCTGTGCCTCCCACCGAGCCTCAGGGTTGGCTTCTCTCTACCTTGATAAGCAACCCTCAGGTCACTTTTCTCAAGGTGTGATGCTCTGGAGTTTTTCATACATTAATGTGGAACAGAAAACCCCAAATTTGACCCCAGTCTGAGCCCCAGGGTGTTGGAGTGTCCCTCCCTGTGGAGGCGGTGGTATGCCCAGAGGGCAGCAGGAACGGGTGGAGGCATTGGTACTGGCCTGTGTGGAGCAGGCCTGTGAGGGCAGGGCCGAACCAACCCTGTTATCTCTGGACCCTGCTGTGTGTGTTTGTGTGTCTGGGCCCCTGAAAGGGCTCTGTGGTGAGTGTAGCGAGGAGCAGGAGCCCTGGCCCCGTCCTGGGAAGGGTGATCTGCTGAGCGCGCGTCCAGCCCCACAAGGCTGGGGTTGGAATTCTTTTCCTGACTTTCTGAAGGGCAGGTCTGGCTGCCCCCAGTGAGTAAATCCTTTCTGGGGTGAGGGCTGTGTGCTATGGGCTGGCCTGGCCCCCGATCACAGTCAAGCATTGCCGATTTATGTAAGCATGAATATATGTATGTGCTTATTTATTTAAAGATACACGGGTTTTTATTTTTAAAAAGGTTTTTTTTTTAAACATTGGAAGCTTTTTACATTTTTATTTTTTTTAAGATTTTATTTATTCATGAGAGAGAGAGAGGGGGGCAGAGACACAGGCAGAGGGAGAAGCAGGCTCCATGCAGGGAGCCTGATGCAGGATCAAGTCCTGGGTCTCCAGGATCACACCCTGGGCTGAAGGCAGGCGCTAAACTGCTGAACCACCCAGGGATCCCCAGGAAGCTTTTTTTTTTTTTTTTTTAAGGTTTACTTATTTATTCATGAGACACACAGAGAGAGGCGGAAAAGCAGGCTTTCCGCAGGGAACCTGAAGCTGGACTCTATCTCAGGACCCCAGGATTGCGCCCTGAGCCGAAGGCAGACGCTCAACTGCTGAGCCACCCAAGTGTCCCTGTAAAAAGTTTTAAAATCCAATTAACGGGGATCCCTGGGTGGCGCAGGGGTTTGGCGCCTGCCTTTGGCCCAGGGCGCGATCCTGTAGACCCCGGATCGAATCCCACGTCGGGCTCCCGGTGCATGGAGCCTGCTTCTCCCTCTGCCTGTGTCTCTGCCTCTCTCTCTCTCTCTGTCTCACTATCATAAATAAATAAATAAATAAATAAATAAAATTTATAATAAAATAAAATAAAATCCAATTAACGGTGTTCTATTAGTTTCAGGGGTACAGTATAGCGATTCAGCAATTCTATCCATCACTCCGAGCTCATCACAAGTGTGCTCTTAATCCCCATCACCTACTTAACCCTTCCTCCCACCCTCCTCCCCCCTGGTGACCATCTGCTTCTGCTCAAGTTTGTTTCTTGGTTTCTCTCTCTTATTTTTTACCCTTTGGTTTGTTTTATTTCTTAAATTCCACATAGTAGTAAAGTCATATGTGGAATAATAGCTCTATCTGTGTTATTGCAAATGGCAAGATTTCATTCTTTCTTATAGCTGCGTAACATTCCTGTGTGCGTGTGTACACACCTAAATAGGCCACATCTTTGTTCATCCTTAGTCGATGGACACTTGGGCTGCTCCCATACTTGGCTGTTGTGGATAACACTGCTATAAACATCCCTTTGAATTAGAGTTCTTGTATTCTTTGGGTAAATACTCAGCCGTGCAATTTGCTGGGTCATAAGGCAATTTCTTTTTTGACTTTTTGAGGAGCCTCCATACCATTCCCCAGAGTGGCCACACCAGTTTGCATCCCCACCAACAGTGCACAAGGGTTCCTTTTCCTCCTCCTCCTCGTCAACACCTGTTGTTTCTCATGTTGCTGATTTTAGCCATTCTGACAGGTGCGAGAGGATATCACACTGTAGTGTTGATTTGCATTTCCCTGATGATGAGGGATGATGAGCATCTTTTCACTAGTCTGTTGGCCATCTGGAGGCCTTCTTTGGAGAAATGTCTGTTCGTGCCTTCTGCCCACTTTTTAATTGGATTATTCATTTTCTGGGTGTTGAGCTATGTAAGTTTTTAATATATTTTGGATACCAACTCTTGTTACATCAGAATGTAATTTGCATGTATCTTTTCCCATTCTGTAGGCTGCCTTTTATTGTTTCCTTCAGTGTGCAGAAGTTCTTATTTTGATGAAGTCCCAGTAGTTTACTTTTGCTTTTGTTCCCCTTCCTCTGGAGATGTGTCCAGTTGCTACTACAGCTGCTGTTAGAGACGTTACTGCCTGTGCTCTCCTCTAGGATTTTTATGGTTTCAGGTCTCACACTTAGGTCTTTCGTCCATTTTGAATTTATTTTTGTGTAGGTGTAAGAAAGTGGTTCAGCTTCATTCTTTTATGTGTTGCTGTCCAGTTTTCCCAGCACCGTTTGTTGAAGATCTAGTCTTTTTCTCATTGGATATTTTTGGATGGTTCACTTCTGGGTTCTCTGTTCTGTTCCACTGATCTGTGTGTCTCTTTTTGTAGCATACTGTCTTGGTGACTACAGCTTTGTACTAGAGCTTGAAGTCTGGAATTGTGATGCTTCCAGCTCCACTTTTCTTTTTTTTTTTTAATTGAATTTTGCTTTGAGGTTTTTTATTATATATTTTTTATTATTTATTTATTTCTTATTTATTTATTTTATTTATTTATGATAGTCACACAGAGAGAGAGGCAGAGACACAGGCAGAGGGAGAAGCAGGCTCCATGCACCGGAAGTCCGACATGGGACTCGATTCCGGGTCTCCAGGATCGCGCCCTGGGCCAAAGGCAGGCGCCAAACCGCTGTGCCACCCAGGGATCCCAATTTTTAAAAGATTTTATTTATTTATTCATAGAGACAGAGAGAGAGAGAGGCAGAGACACAGGCAGAGGGAGAAGCAGGCATCGTACAGAGAGCCCGACGTGGGACTCGACCCAGGGTCTCCAGGATCACGCCCTGGGCTGAAGGGGGCGCTAAACCGCTGCACCACCGGGGCTGCCCTCTTAATTTCTTTTTTGCTGCTTCATTATTAGCACATAAAAATGCAACAGATTCCTGCACATTGATTTTATATTCTGCAACCTTACTGAATTCGTGTGTCAGTTCCAACAGTTTTTTGATAGTCTTTTGGTTGGGGCATTGCCATTTTACTTTATTTTATTATTACTAATTTATATTTAGGAAGGGAGGGAGAGAATCTGAAGCAGGCTCCACATCCAGCGGGGGAACGTGATGTGGGGCTTAGTGTCATGACTCTGAAATCATGACCTGAGGTGAAATCAGAAGTCAGACGCTTAACCGACTGAACCACCCAGGTGCTCCAGGCATTGCCATTTTAGAAGACAGCTTCCACCAGCTTGGCAGTGGGTCCGAAGGTGGCCCACCTGTGAGAGTCATGGGTGGTGGTGGGGCTTTAAAACTGCTCTGCAGGCCGCCCCCCGGCCAGCTGTGTCAGGATGTGGGGCAAGGACCGGACTTGGGGCTTATTACAGTTCCTCAGGTGACCCTTATATGTCCAAAGTTTGGGAGCTGGGGCCTTAGGGATTATTTTGGTGTTTGTGATTTGGTTCTTTTGCTTCAGAAGTGTCTGCAGCCACAGGGTAGGGGCACAGAAATGCTTCACTTGGGAATGGCATGTCTGATAATGTTCTTTTTCGGTGGAGCCAAATGACAAGCCAGTTTCCTGTGTTTGGAGATGCATTTCTACTAAGAAGGTGACCAGGAAAGGAGAGTCGTGGTCAGGGTTTAAGAGTAGGCGGGCCCACTGACACCAGCAGGGGCCCAGGTCACCTTTCTCACTTTCAGGGACCACGCTGGTGGGAACGAGAAGCTGGTCAAGCTGGAGCCTGGGTTGAAGGTGTGCGGGGGTGATGACCGGATCGGGGCCCTGACTCAGAAGGTCACGCACCTGTCCACACTGCAGGTGAGCAGCGAACCCATGGGAGGCATGCCAGCATGGCTGGTCTCCGGGCCCTGGAGGGGAGGGGCACGGTGGGGACAGTCGCGCCCCTCCTGGCATTCCCCCCTTGCCCAGGGCCCCGGAGGGTGGAGGGCCGCCTGGTTGGTGCCCTCTGTCATCACAGACACATCAGCCTGCGGAGAGCGCTTGGCTGCGGGGAGAAGCCGTCAGGCACGGTCGGAGACAACTGGGGAAACGGGAGTGTGGACAGGGCAGGGGATGGACGCACATCACTCTTCCACATCTCGGATGTGGTGATGGTGTAAGGCCGAGTGAAAGGATGTCCCGGGAGTCAGCAGGCGCCTCGGGGGTGGCGTGTCCGCGCACTGCAGCCCGCTGTGCTGTGCTGAGTCCACGTGGCAGACGTGGCGACTGTTAGCGTTCGGTGACCCACGTGAGGGTCACGCTGATGTACACTTTATTTCGATCTTTCTGTGGCTTGAACATTCTTGGGCGGGCAGGGGAGGCAGGAAGGAAAACCAAGCAGAAGCCCAAACACCGAGGGAGGAGAGTGTCCTTTCTAAGAAGCCAGGTACCTGGTGACGACCTGCCTGATGCTGAGGAAGAAAGTAGAATAGGCCCCTTGGTTCTGCGCCGCAGGCAAACGGCAGGCTCGGGTGGGCCTTGCCCCTGGGGCACCCTTGGGGACTCGGCCCGCGGTTCCAGCACGATGCACGTCGTGCTGCTGGAGCAGCAGTGACAGGCTGCTCGGCTGTGTCGGGGCTCCCGCCGTGGGGCAGTTGCGGGTCGGGCGGGCCACGGGAGCGGCGGTCCCCCGTGGGGAGCCCTCGGGCGGCCCCCGGGCGCGGAGAGGGCAAATGCCAGTGCGTGCTTCGTTTAAGGTGGGGTCTCTCAATGTCAAGTGCCTGTCCACCCCGTGCCACACTTCTGGACACATCTGCTACTTTGTGAGCAAGCCCAACAGCTCCGAGCCTCCTGCCGTGTTCACAGGTGAGTGTTCAGGTGCGGGGGCGGGGATTATGTGTGAAGACAGCCCCGACTTGGGGATCGCACGCCTGGGGCGTTTGCAGCCAGGCCTAGGGTGCGGGGCTGCGTGAGGAGGACGCCCGCCCCCAGGGGAGAGCCCGGGAACAGCCTGAGCACCCAAGCACCACCCAGCTTGGCCTGCGTGAGGAGCACTGTCGGGCGGACAGGCCTTGCCAGCAATCCAGGGCCTTCTCCCTTGAGAGAAAGGGAGACCGTGCTGCAGCCCAGGGAGCCCGCGGGCCGGGCCGGCTGAGCAGCCGCTGCGGCCCAGAGCAGGCCTGTTGGCCGCGCGGACCCTCCTGAGCACTCTCAGCGGGTGTGAGCGGCCCTAAGCTCTGTGTCTTGCAGAAATTAAAGTTCCTGTGATGATGCAACTGCAGTGGGGGATGGTTGGGAAATGCAGGGGCCGAGCATGAGGGCACCAGCGTGAGGGGCCCAGCGTGAGCAGCTGAGAGTGAGGGAACCAGCCGTGAGGGGCCAAGAGTGAGGGAACCAGCGTGAGGGGCTGAGCATGACAGAACCAGCATGAGGCGCCCAGCGTGAGGCGCCCAGTGTGAGGGAACCAGTGTGAGGGCACCAACGTGAGGGCACCAGCGTGAGGGGCCGAGCGTGAGGGCACCAGCGTGAGGGCACCAGCATGAGGAGCCAAGAGTGAGGGAACCAGCGTGAGGGGCTGAGCATGACGGAACCAGCATGAGGCGCCCAGCGTGAGGGAACCAGTGTGAGGGCACCAGCGTGAGGGCACCAGCATGAGGGGCCGAGCGTGAGGGCACCAGTGTGAGGGCACCAGCGTGAGGGGCTGAGCATGAGGTGCCCAGCGTGAGGGCACCAGTGTGGGGGGCTGGGAGTGAGGGCACCAGCATGAGGGGCTGAGCATGAGGTGCCCAACGTGAGGGGCTGAGGGTGAGGGAACCAGCATGAGGTGTCTAGCATGAGGTGCCCAGTGTGGGGGGCCCAGCATGAGGGCCCCAGCGTGAGGAGCCAAGAGTGAGGGAACCAGCGTGAGGGGCTGAGTATGACGGAACCAGCATGAGGCGCCCAGCGTGAGGGAACCAGCATGAGGGCACCAGCGTGGGGGGCCAAGAGTAAGGGAACCAGCGTGAGGGGCTGAGCATGACAGAACCAGCATGAGGCGCCCAGCGTGAGGGAACCAGTGTGAGGGCACCAGCGTGGGGGGCTGAGAGTGAGGGCACAAGTGTGAGGGGCCGAGTGTGAGGGCACCAGCGTGAGGGGCCGAGTGTGAGGGAACCAATGTGAGGGGCTGAGCATGAGGTGCCCAGCGTGAGGGAACCAGTGTGAGGCACCAGCATGGGGGGCCGAGCATGAGGGCACCAGCGTGAGGGGCCGAGCGTGAGGGCACCAGCGTGAGGGGCCGAGTGTGAGGGAACCAGCGTGAGGGGCTGAGCGTGAGGTGCCCAGCGTGAGGGAACCAGCGTGAGGGCACCAGCGTGGGGGGCCGAGAGTGAGGGCAGCAGTGTGAGGGGCCGAGCGTGAGGGCGCCAGCGTGAGGGCACCAGCATGAGGGGCCGAGTGTGAAGGAACCAGCGTGAGGGGCTGAGAGTGAGGGAACCAGCGTGAGGGGCTGAGTGTGAGGGAACTAGTGTGAAGGACTGAGCATGAGGGAACCAGCGTGAGGTGCCCAGTGTGAGGGGCCGAGTGTGAGGCGCCCAGCATGAGGGAACCAGCGTGAGGGAACCAGTGTGAGGGGCCCAGCGTGGGGCACCAGTGTGAGGTGCCCAGTGTGAGGGGCCGAGTGTGAGGGGCACCAGTGTGAGGGGCTGAGCATGAGGGGCCGAGTGTGAGGGAACCAGCGTGAGAGGCTGAGCATGAGGTGCCCAGCGTGAGGCGCCCGGTGTGAGGCATCCAGTGTGAGGGAACCAGCATGAGGGGCCGAGCGTGAGGCGCCCAGCATGAGGGAACCCGTGTGAGGGGCCGAGTATGAGGGAACCAGCATGAAGTGCCCAGCGTGAGGGAACCAGCGTGAGGGGCCGAGTGTAAGGACACCAGCATGAGGGAACCAGTGTGAAGCGCCCAGTGTGAGGCACCCAGCGTGAGGGCACCAGTGTGAGGGGCCGAGTGTGAGGGAACCAGCATGAGGGTTCCAGCGTGAGGGGCCCCGGAGCAGCTCCACAGTGAGGGCATGCATGGGACCCCAGAGGTCTCCACAGCCGCTCGAAGTCCCACGGCACCCTGCTCCCAAGCTCCTCGTGGATACCATGGATTTCGGTGTCCCTGGTGTAGGAGCAGCAGGTGGCCGCTCTGAGCCGACTCTGAGTTCGGGACGGGGGACCCCGGGGACCCCAGGCTCGCTCTGGGAGAACCGGCCTCCAGCACCCCGCCTCTGCACGGTGAGCACCGAGATCCCCCGAGTGGCCGTGGGCACCTGTGTCATCGCGGGGCGGCAAACACCCCCGTCAGTCTGCCCGTCTGCTGGGGGGAAGGCGGCCGGGCCTGGAGTGAGGCGGGTCCCTTGGGGCTGCGTAGACGTGGGAGCTGATTCGGGCTCTGGAAGCCCGCCCCGGGGTCCTCCGTGGGGTCCTCCGTGAATGGGCCAGTGGGCGCGGCATCTGTAGGAGTCATGTGGTGTCGGGAGGCTCCGGGGCTGCTGCCCGCTCGCTGAGGGCTAAGCGCAGGGGAGCCGGGGTGTCCGAGGGCTGCTCCCCGGACCCCGACCGCCTTGCCTGCGTGCTTCGCGGCCTCTGGCGTCTCTGGATCCTCCACACTTGCCTCCCTGGAGGGCTCGTTCGGGGCGCGGCCCAGTGGCATCCCCGCGAGGTGCCTGTTGTCCCGGGGGGCAGTGGGCACCGCACCTGAGGGGGCCCGGCTCTGGCCAGGACGGCCCGGTGGTGGCCCTGTGGCCTGGGCTGTGTGCCGGTCTCTGGGCCGCCACTAGGGCCTGGAGGGCAAATGCGCCTGAGCCCCCGGTGGCCACAGAGCTCGTCAGGAGGAGGGGGCGCCCCCCTGTGGGGCTGAGGCAGGAGGGGGTCTGGGGGGGGGGCGCCTGCTGGGGTCTGGGGGTGCTCCAGGCTGGCCGTGGCCACTGAGGGAAGAGGACACATGGCAGGTGGGCTGGGAGGGACAGGGCTGGTTTCGGGGCCACCACGGCCGACAAGGTAGGGCCGTGAGGAGGAGTGGGGGGACCGTAAGGTGTGGGTTTGGGGGGCTGCTGGCGAGGCTGAAGGGGGACGGGTTGGGGCTGGGCACTGGGAGCTGGGGGCCTCTGCCCTGCTGGGTTGCGGGGGCCTGTCCTGCTGGCGGTGCCCCCACTGCCCCGGGCTGTCCTGCTTCTCAGGTGACACCTTGTTTGTGGCCGGCTGCGGGAAGTTCTACGAAGGGACTGCGGACGAGATGTACAGAGCCCTGCTGGAGGTCCTGGGCCGGCTCCCTCCAGACACAGTAGGCAGCGCCCCCGGCTGGGTGCGGGGGCGGGCACGCTGCCTTGTGAGCGTGGGTCTCGTGACGTACCTGCTACCGCCGTGGAACATGCACACAAGGAGTGTCAGTGTCCTGAGTGCCCCCCCCCCCCGTGTCCTCACCAAGGGGTCCCAGCTCAGAGCCCTGCGTGCCTGGCTCCGAGGGGGCCGGGGGGTCTGGGGGCAGCTTCCTGCAGCCCCTAGTTCACGGCGTGCTGTTTTCCGCAGAGAGTGTACTGTGGCCACGAGTACACCATCAACAACCTCAAGTTCGCGCGGCATGTGGAACCCAGCAACGCCGCCGTTCAGGAGAAGCTGGCCTGGGCTAAGGTGAGCGGGCCGCGCTGCGGGCTGCATCTGTGGGTCAGTGACCACGACTCAGCTCCCCGGGGGCTGGGCTGCCGCCCGTGGGGGCCTCTTCTCCATGCGGGCGCACGGTGCTCCTCCCGGGCCGGCTGTGTCATTGTGATCCTCGCTGACCCCGTGGGTCTGGGCCGGGCCTGGGATGCCGCCCTCGTGGCAGGGGCCCTGGTGAGGCCGGAGCTACGGGTCCCCACGCCCTGGGCCCCGGGGGCTCCACCTCAGCACCGTGGCCGGGGCAGCCGCACCCGCCGGCGAGGCCGCTGGTCTGAAACGCATTGACTTCTGGGAAGACCGAGGACTCTGGTCTGGTTGTCCTAGCGGCGTCCTCAGTGGGGGCTGGAGTGCTGCGGCAGGAAGCCGGGGCGCGGGCTCTGCCTTCGACCCTGTGGTCCCCGTGAGGTGTCGGGAGGACGCTCTCCCGGAGGCCTTGGGGCTTCGGTCAGTGACGAGTGGCCTTGGAGTTTCGTTGTTCGATGCGTCACCTGTTGTCGAGCGTCTTTCTCAGTTTTGGGGTGCGCTTGCAAAATAATACTTGTTAGAATTTAGGCCACCTGATGAGTTGATGGGCATTCTCCTCCTGCGGTGCGCGTGGGATGAATATTTTCCGCAGCTCAGAGGGCCTATCCTGTATATTTGCAGCTTGCGTTTTGTGGCTTCTTTTTCACTTCCTGGCCCTAGTGCCCTGTCCACAGCAGTCTATACACATTGGACTAATGCTTCCTCTCATTAACAGTTCCCTACTTTAAAAAATCCAGTCTTTATGGAGGATAATTTTCATTCAATACAACATAACTTGTTTTGAGCGAGCGGTACACAGATTGATGAATTTTGACAGCGTGTGCCGCCATGTGGCCCCAGGATGTTCCCTGCCACTCCTGTGGGTCACCCTGTTCTGGAGCATGTCCTGTAAACAGCCCTCAGAGACACGGCGCACCTGGCTCCATTGCTCAGATTCCCTCATGCTCTATTTCTGAGCAATGTTGACTCTCCTGTGTTTTGTCCTGAAAGTTTATTGTTTTCGCTTTTGTGTTTGTTCAAATTTATTTGTAGGTCAGTGAGCCTCAGACCATGTGTGGTCTAAGGGAAGGGTAGAGCACAATTTTTTTTTTTTTTTTTTTGCAAATTCACTTCCAGCTGCTCAGCCCCATTCGTTGGAAAGACTGTCCTTTTCGGGATCCCTGGGTGGCGCAGCGGTTTGGCGCCTGCCTTTGGCTCAGGGCGCGATCCTGGCGACCCGGGATCGAATCCCATATCGGGCTCCCGGTGCATGGAGCCTGCTTCTCCCTCTGCCTGTGTCTCTGCCTCTCTCTCTCTCTCTCTGTGACTATCATAAATAAATAAAAAAAAAAAAAAAAAAAGACTGTCCTTTTCTCGTTGGATTACCTTGGCATCCTCACTAGATAAACTGGGCAGCGTAGGCCTGAGTCACTTCTGGACTCTCCTCTCTGCCCCACTGATCTGTAGGACTTCTCCTCCGCCCGCAGCGGACAGTCTTGATTATTGTGGCTCTTGGTAAGTCTGGGAATCAGGCTGTATATATCCTATATATAGGCTTTCTTAAAGCTTGTTTTGGCTCCTCTAAGTGCTTTGCGTTTCCATGTAAATTTTAGGATTGTCTTGTTAATTTTTACCAGAAAAGTAAGCTTGGGACAGCCTGGGTGGCTCAGCAGTTTAGCGCCTTCCTTTGGCCCAGGATGTGATCCTGGAGTCCCCGGATCGAGTCCCACGTCGGGCTCCCTGCATGGAGCCTGCTTCTCCCTCTGCCTGTGTCTCTGCCTCTTTCTCTCTCTCTCTCTCTCTCTGCGTTTCTCATGAGTAGATAAATAAAATCTTAAAAAAAGAAAAAAAGTAAGCTTGGCTTTGGATTGGGACTGTATTGTAACAAAAGATTTGGAGAGAATTGAGGTCTTAACAATATTGAGTCTTTCCGTGAATATGCTGTAGCTTTCCACTTATTGAGGTCATTAGTTTTTCTCAGCAATATTCTATAATTTTTGTTGTTCCAGAAATTGCACATAGTATTAAATGTAGCCCTCAGAAGTTCATGTTTTTGGATTTTATTGGAAATGACTATTTGCTGAAGTCTTTAGAAATACAAAGATTTAAAAAAAAAGATTTTATTTATTTACTCATGAGAAATGCAGAGAGAGAGGGAGGCAGAGACACAGGCAGAGGGAGAAGCAGGCCCCACACAGGGAACCCGACGTGGGACTCGATCCCGGGACCCCAGGATCACGCCCTGGGCCGCAGCCGGCGCTAAACTGCTGAGGCCCTCAGGCTGCCCATAAGTGATTTCTGTATTTTGATCTCGTATCATTGTGACCTTGTTCAGCGCCCTTATTCTAGCATCTTTTTCATAGATTCCTTAGCACACAATCACATCATCAACTAATAGAGACATTTTTTTTCTTCTTTTATAAACACGTGTGCCTTTTATTTACTTGTGCCCAGTTGCACTGGCTAAGATCTCTAGGACAAAGTTAAATAGAAGTAGTGGGACTGCACATCTGTGCCTCGTTCCCAATCTTAGGGGGAAAGCATTCAGTCTTTAACCATTAAGTATCATAGTAGCTGTGGGTTTTTTGTAAATCTTCTTAAGTTGACAGAGTTCACTTATATTCCTGGTTTTCTGAGAGTTTAATCATGAGTGGGTATTGAATTTTATGAACTGATTGTTTTCTTCATCTTTTACGTAATTATGTTTTTTTCCTATTTTACTGTTAATATCCAACCTCAGTTGGATTCAGATAAACCAACCTTGCTTTCTGCCCAAGCCTTAGTCATGCCATGTTACGTTGCTGTGGTCTCTCCTTCTGTCAGGGTTCATAAGAGATACTGGTCTGTCATTTTATCTTCTTGTAATGTTTTTGGTCTTAGTATCAGGGTAATGCTGGCCTCATAAAATGAACGGAAAATGTTTACTCCTATGTTCCTAGACAAAACAGTTTGTCTAGGATATTATTTCTTCCTTTAATGTTAGAATTCACCACTGAAGCCACCTGGACATTGAGTGCTTTTCATGGAAAGGTCTTTTTTTGTTGTTGTTACAAAGGTAATGTCTTTATTTTATGTAGGGCTATTAGATTTCTTTTTTAAATATTTTACTTATTCATTCATGAGAGACAGAGAGAGAGAGAGAGAGAGAGAGAGAGGCAGAGACACAGGCAGAAGGAGAAGCAGGCCCCACGCAGGGAGCCCGACGTGGGACTCGATACCCAGTCTCCAGGATCACACCCTGGGCTGCAGGCGGCGCTAAACCGCTGCGCCACCGGTGCTGCCCGGCTATTAGATTTTTATGTCTTCTTGAGTCAATTTTGTTAGCAACTATTGTCTTTCAAAGAATTTGTCCATTTTGCTAAAGTTTTCAAATTCATTTTTATTTTTTTTTAATTTTTATTTATTTATGATAGGTACACAGTGAGAGAGAGAGAGAGGCAGAGACACAGGCAGAGGGAGAAACAGGCTCCACGCACCGGGAGCCCGACGTGGGATTCAATCCTGGGTCTCCAGGATCGCGCCCTGGGCCAAAGGCAGGCACTAAACCGCTGCGCCAGCCAGGGATCCCTCATTTTTATTTTTTAAAAAATTTATTTCTTTGAGAGAGAGAGTTCAAGCATGAGCGGGGGGAGGAGCAGAGGGAGAGGGAGAACCAAGCTCCCCGCTTCCCCACTGAGCAGGGAGCCCGATGGAGGACTCGATCCCAGGACCTTGGGTTCATGACCAGGATGGAAGGCAGATGCTTTGCTGACTGAGCCACCTGGGTGCCCCATACTGTTTAAGATTAAATTTTTTTTTTTTAGGTTTTATTTATTTATTCACGAGAGACACAGAAAGAGGCAGAGACCCAGGCAGAGGGAGAAGCAGGCTCCGTGCAGGGAGCCCAGTGAGGGGCTCGATCCCGGGACTCCAGGATCTCACCCTGAGCTAAAGCCAGGTGCTCAACCACTGAGCCACCCAGGGATTCCCTCTTTAGGATCAGCTTTGCTGTGGTTTAGTTCACATGTAATAAACCACATTAGTTTAAAGTGAATGAGTGAACTTTGACAGCACGCGCGCGCGCACACACACACACACGATAAAATGACTATTACAATTGAGATACAAAACATCCCCATCGCCCCCAGAGGTTTCTGCATGCCTCATTAAGATTTTATTTTGTAATTTTTTTTTATAATTTTTTTTTTTTTTATGATAGTCACAGAGAGAGAGAGAGAGGCAGAGACACAGTCAGAGGGAGAAGCAGGCTCAATGCAGGGAGCCCGATGTGGGACTTGATCTCACACCCTGGGCTGAAGGTGGCACTAAACCGCTGAGCCACCCGGGCTGCCCCTTAGTTTGCATTTTTTAGAATTCAATATAGGGCACCTGGGTGGCTCAGTCAGTGAAGTGTCTGCCTTCAGCTCGGGTCGTGATCTCAGGGTCCTGGGATTGAGCCCCACGTCGGGCTCCCTGCTCAGTGTGGAGCCTGCTTCTCCCTCTCCCTCTGGGTGCTGCTCCCTTGCTTGTGCTCACTCGCTCATGCCCTCTCAGATAAAATCTTAAGAAAAAAATCATGTTAATGGAGCATACAATACGTATTCTTATTTTCACTCAGAAGGATTTTTGAGAATCATTCATGCTGAATCTGGGCCACGTTTTGTTTATCCAATCACTCGTAGTTAGACATTTATGTTTCCGGTCATTGGCTACTGTGAATAAAGCTGCTACAACATTTGTACATCTCTTTGTGTGACCTACCTTTTAATTTCTCTTGAGTAAATATCTAGGAATGAAATGGCTGGGCAGTATCAGGTGTATGTTTGACTTGTAAAGAAACCGCCAAGTTGTTTCCTAAGTATTTGTGTTATTTTACATTCAGATCAGCACATTTTAAATTCGAATCAGGCTTCTAGTTGTTATCTGCACCAACACTTGGCATTGCCATTCTTTTTGATTTTAGTCACTTTAATGGGTATGTAGTGGAGTTATATTGTGGCTTTAATTTGCATTTTTCTAGTGTCTAATCATGTTGAACATCTTTTTATGTGCTGATTGGCCATTTTTTGTTTGTTCAAATCTTTTGGCCATTTAAAGAGTTTGATTGTCTTATTTTTGATAAGAGGATTTTTTTTTTTTGGTAAATATATTCTGGTTATAGGTGTTTTATCAGATGGTTTCTCCCATTCTGTGGCTTGCCTTTTATTTTCTCAATAGTGTTTTTTGAAAAGTAAGCATTTTTAATTTTGATAAAGTCCAGCATGTTAATCTTTTTATGGTTCAGACTTCTTGCCTCTTATCTAAAAAATATTTGCTTTTCCCAAGGTTGAGATTTTTCTTTGTTTCCTTTTGGAAGTTTCATAATTTAGCTTTTATGTTTAATGCGGTATGGTCACACCCACCCACCCCCATCTGTTGGATCTGTAGTGATGTCACCTCTTTAATTTCTGATGTTGGCGATTTGTGTTCCTATTCTTCATCGTTCTGATCAATTTTGCTGATCTTTTCAAAGAACAGTTTTTGCCTTAATGTTTCTGGTTTTTCCATTGTCCTGGTTCCAGCGCTTTTTAAATTCCTTCCTTCTACTTACTTTGTTCTTCCTTTTATAGATTTTTTTTAAAATTTTTTATTTATTTATGATAGTCACACAGAGAGAGAGGTAGAGACACAGGCAGAGGGAGAAGCAGGCTCCATGCACCGGGAGCCCGACGTGGGATTCGATCCCGGGTCTCCAGGATCGCGCCCTGGGCCAAAGGCAGGCGCCAAACCGCTGCGCCACCCAGGGATCCCCTTTTTATAGATTTTTTAAAAAAGATTTTATTTATTTGACAGAGCAAGTGAGCACAAGCAGGGAGAGCGGCAGGCAGAGGGAGAGGGAGAAGCAGGGCTCCCCATTGAACAGGATGCCCAATGTAGGACTAGATCCCAGGACCCGAGGATCATGATCTGAGCTGCAGGCAGATACTTCACCAACTGAGTGCCCCCCCCCCCCCGCCGGTTCTTAATACAGAACCTGAAGTCATTGATTTTAGACCTTTCTTTTTTTCTAATATAAGCAATTAATGCTAAGAACTAAACCTCAAGGCCTGTTTTAGGAACATTCTGCAAATTTATAAATGCTATATGTTTATTATCTTCAGTTTGAAATAATTTAAAATATATTCCTTGGGATTCCTTAGACATGTGGGGTTACATTTAATTATATGGAAACATTTTTTTAGTTTTTTCAACATTTTTTTAAAAATTTTTATTTATTTATGATAGTCACACACACAGAGAGAGAGAGAGGCAGACACACAGGCAGAGGGAGAAGCAGGCTCCATGCACTGGGAGCCCGACGCGGGATTCGATCCTGGGTCTCCAGGATCGCGCCCCGGGCCAAAGGCAGGCGCCAAACCGCTGCGCCACCCAGGGATCCCTTTTTCAACATTTTTAAAAGAATTTTTACATATATAGAAAAGTTGAAGGAATCACATAGTGAACATTCATGTGCCCAACACCAGCTTTTTTTTTTTTTTAATTTATTTATTCATAGAGACACACATAGCGAGAGGCAGAGACACAGGCAGAGGGAGAAGCAGGCACCATGCAGAGAGCCTGATGTGGGACTTGATCCAGGGTCTCCAGGATCACGCCCTGGGCTGCAGGTGGTGCTAAACCATTGTGCCACCAGGGCTGCCCCCAGCAATAGCTTTTGAATATGAACGTTTTAATCTACTTTATCACCATCCATCCATCTGTCATTCTTTTTAATAAGTAATCTATGGCACTGTGTGCATGTCACCCAGAAGCCATTTTACCTACCCCATTAGGGAGGATGCTTAGAGTTTCCAGCTTGTTTGCTCTTAGGAGCTATGCTGTGGCAAGCATCCTTATACACAAGTCTTAAGTGTCTACATGCTTCCTGCTTCTGTAGGAAAAACTGTTACAGGTTAAAACTCATTAATTTTTATGATTGTATTTATTTATTCATGAGAGACACAGAGAAAGAGAGAGAGAGAGGCAGAGACACAGGCAGAGGGAGAAGCAGGCTCCATGCAGGGAGCCCGATGTGGGACTCGATCCCAGAACCCTGGGGTCATGACCTAAGCCGAAGGCAGACCCTCAACCACTGAGCCCCCCAGGCGTCCCAATCAGCACGGGTTTTAGAATATCCTTAGAAGAGTTATCTTGTTTGCTTCCCTCATAGGAGATGGAGAAGGAATTCTTAGGAGTGAATACTGGAGGAAGCCTGGGGAATATTCTAAAACACTCTAAGCTTGTTTTCAGCGGAAGGGGAAGATCAGAAATTAGCAATAAACTTCCATCTTGACCTCCTGCCAGACCCTTACTTGGCACACTGCCAGCAGTTGAGAGCTTGCTTCTTGATGCCACTGCTCACGGTTGGGGGTGACTTCGGGACCCTCGGGTCTGAGGACCCTGCATGGTCGGGAAGCCTGGGGGTGGGTGTTGACAGTGGCTGTCCGGCCTCTGATGCTGTGGCCCTCGGGGTTCACCCAACCGTAGAAGGGCAGGGGCTGTGGGGAGAGTGAAGACCCCGGCTGTTAACCCTGGCCTTCCCATAGGATTTTCTGTAGGAGTGAACAGTTGGCTGATGGCACAGTTTGCCTCTTCTCTCCATTTGCCCTGGTCAGTGTAGATCGGAGGCCATCCTGCCTGGGGGACAGGCTGCCTGCCTGGGCTCTTCCTGTGGCTTTGTCCTCAGGAGCCCGTGAAGGGGAAGCCCTGGCCAAATGCCCGGTGGTGAGAGCTCACCACCTTGTAGAGGGGTGGTCATCCCAGTGTAGGGACCCTGGGCACTTGCTACCTTGCTCTGCCAAGCAGTGAGCTCTGCATCTTGGGGGTAGGGCTGTGGGTGTTTCCTTCTTTCCTGTGTTTTCTGCATTTTTGCTGGTATTCTAGAACATAAAATACAAACTTCAAATTAGTGAAGTTTTTGTGTCCCCCTCTATATCCAAGACAGCGAGGGGAAGAGGGACAGTTTGTTGGTGGTGGCCGGGACACTTGGGTCTCTGCAGCAGGAAGGAGCCTGTCCTCACGCTGACCTGATGCTGTTCACTTTGCCTTCCGAGGTGACGTTCGGAGATTAGAAGGTGGTGGGAAATGCTACCTTTAGCAACATCCATGTTAAAGTGACCTCTGTCCTGTGCAGGAGAAGTACAGTATTGGGGAGCCCACCGTGCCATCCACCATCGCAGAGGAGTTCACCTACAACCCATTCATGAGAGTGAGGTGAGCGTGCACTCAGGGATGTTTGCACCTCTGTGGCCCCCTTGCTCAGCCAGCATCCGCACCCCTGCAGACCCCAGGTGCCAGGGGAGGCTACCCTGAAGTCTTTATCAAGTAGTCTGTAGCCTGGGAAGCAGGCACCTCCTCTCAGGGGCAGGGGGGTGGGTGCTTGTGCCCTCTCAGGGGCAGGGGGGTGGGTGCTTGTGTGGGGTCCTTTCTGACCCTGGAGTCTGGATCCGTAGGTGGGCGAGGTGTGGCCCACAGGAGTCTTGAGGGGGCTGCCAGCAGGACCACTCGGCCAGCAGGCCCTCCACAGTCAGGAGCATGCAGGCTGGCCCTTGGCGGGAGCATTTCATCTTTTCAGAATGTCCCAACCTCTGCTGGCTCTTTTCTCCCCCAGTGCCCCGGGGCGGGGGGTGGGGGGGGAGGCGGGTGTGCATGGCGCGCAGCCTGCAGCCTGGTGGTCGGCTTTCACAGGGAGAAGACTGTGCAGCAGCATGCGGGTGAGACGGACCCTGTGACCACCATGAGGGCCATCCGCAAAGAGAAGGACCACTTCAAGGTGCCCCGGGACTGAGGTGCTGTGGGGCCTCCACCGCCCTCAAGCACATATGGGTATTCAGGGGTTTTAGGTATATTTCCTGCTGGCAGTGCAGGAAATCCAGTCTTGGTTTAATCTTAAATTAATTTCAGAGCCCTTTGCTTGTGTTATCAGATGTTCTAATGCATATTTATAAGAGAAGTTGAGAAAGCGGATCCTGGATGCTCTGCTCGCAACTTTGTGTTCTCTCCTGCCTTCAGTGGGACCTGTCCCCATGCCCCCTCATGCCATCTGGTCTGGAAGACCATGCTTACCAAAGCAGGGCCACAGGACAGTCCCCTTGTCCCCTCGGCACTACACGGAGACTGCCGGTGTCATCCCCTCTCCTCCTCCCCTGGGCCCTGTGTCATCCTCTTCCCAAGATTTCTGTGTTGACATGGGGCCAAGCCCCGCCCGGGCTGGCACAGCACAGGGCTCATTGACACCGTGCCCCTGCGCTGGTGGCCAGGGCGATGCTGACAATGGGGCTGGGCGTCCGGGGACCCTGAGCTCAAGGCCCACTGAGGCCTCTTCGTCCCTGAGAAGCCTGGCCCGTCCTGGGCTGTTCACCCGCCCACCGCCCCACTGCGGGCACCTTGCTGCCGCTGCCTGAGGTCCAGCCCCCCCGCCCTTGCTCCTGAGATCCTGGCCTCAGTCCCTGCACCGCTCCGCTCCCCCTGCTTGTGTTTGAAGAAATCTGCACTGTACCGGCCCAGGAAGCGGCCATCTCCTTAGCAACCGCAGGCCCGGCCTGGGCTGGGGGAACCCAGGGGGAACAGACGAGCCTCGGGGTGCGGTCAGACCCAGGGCATGACGGGGCAGGAAGTGGGGGGAAGGGGTGTTCCCAACAGCTCATCTCTGAGTCTGGAGGTCTTCCTCTGTTCTGGACGTTGTCCAATGGGCTCTGACCTGAGGAGGCTCTGTAGACGCGGATGGCTCCCAGTTAGCACTTCTCTAGCGGAGGTGCCCACCACCGCCTTCCTGCCTAGATGTCCTCAGGTGGCCGAGGTTGCGTGTCCAGGTCCTGGGTGGGCCTCGGTGCTATGCGGCTGGGAAGCACAGTCATTCTTGTCCAAGGCTGTTGACCCCCTCCATGGAGCCGGAGCTCCCTCAGGGGTGTCATGGAACCTTCTAGATGCTTCAGTGTACAGCTCTGTGCCACCGTATGTGTGAAAGTGAAGTCATTTCCTAGTCGGTTGCCAGCTTGGTGCTCCAGGGTCTTGCTGAAGAATCCTTCAAGTGCTCAACTGCGTGCTTCGTGTCTACCTGTCCCTCCGCTGACCTCCTGCAAGTCCATGCGGTAGTGACCTACTTGCTCCTGCTGGGAGCCCCGCTATGTGTCCCTCCTGCTCGCGAGCACCGCCAGCCGTGGGGGGCAAGTGCCCAAAGGTGCAGGCCTGTCCTGTAGCCCGTGGTGCCCGTTACCACAGCTTTAGGATAATTCTTCATTTCCAGAAAGGGACACAGCCCAGCTTCGTCCTTCGGGCGAGTCTCGGCCACATCCTCACATGCACGTAGTATCTGTGGCTAGGGTTGGGCCTGGCATAACATGACACCACATTTCTGGGCTTCTTGTGACAAGTTTCAAGTTCTGAACATACCACCTGTCCGGCATCAGGGTCGCCGGTGCGTTCCGTGCTGCTAAAACCCTACTGCCGCCGGCGCCAGTGTCTGCACGGCCCTATAGTTGCAGGACACGGTCCCTGAGGCAGCCCTGGCCTCAGACGCCGCCGCCACTCGCTGGACGGTCCAGAGGGCGAGGTCGGGGCCTGGAGCGCCGAGCTGCGCCCTCCCTGGAACACAGCATGTCACCCTCCTGACATGGACACGGGCAAGCCTACGTCAGCCCTGGGATCCCTGGCCACGCAAGTGACCGTCCCCCTTGGGTCACAGCATCCACATTGATCCCAGTGTGGGGGGCTTCCGTGAGCGACAGCATCCTCCACGCCATGGGAGCACCCAGGGATGGACCGCCCCCCGCACGGCACCAGGGGTCCGGACTCTCCCTGGAGGCTGTGCTCTGGATCGGCCGCCCCCATCCTCTGTACGTTGACGCTGTCGCAAACAGGGTCACCGCAGGCAGCTTTGTTCCCTGGAATCTGCTCAGCCTGGGCGAGCTCTGTGTCCTTCATGAACCTTCTGTGGTCCTGATGCTGGGACTTCTGCCCTTGGGGCTCCTGTGGTGCAGGGAGGCAGGCGGGGCAGTGGCCCGTGTCCCCAGCCTCCTCGACTGCACCTTGCAAGTGCTGTGGCCAAGGCTGAGCTGCTCTGCCGTCCTGCCCTCATGGGGCTTCTGTCCTGGCGGAGGGCACGGCAGGGCAGCAGCAGGGCCGTGGCGGGGCAGGCCCGGCCGTGGAGGGCACGTGAGCAGCAGCTGACGGCTCAAAGGAGTGAATCTTGCAGATCTCTGGGAGAGAAAAGCAAGTGCCAAGGCCCTGGGGCAGGGGTGAGGCTGAGATGGGGGGGTGGGCAGCAGCGGACAGGTTGCAGGAGGACCTTAGCACCCACCTGAAGACAGGTGTGGGGGTTGGGGGGCAGCCGTTACCAGCAGGTCTCTGCGTGCCCACGGGGCGGCCAAAGATGAAAGGGCTCCCAGCGTGAGCTGAATGCGGGGTTCCCCGGAGACACACAAGGCCCGTGGGCGGGGTCTGGGCAGGTGGAGGCCAGGCTGCCTGTGAAGCACCCCAGGGTGGGGGTGGCAGGCAGACGAAGGTCAGGGTCGGTCCCGGCTGGAAATGCACCCGGGGGTCACCGGGCGCTGGGGGAGCTCGTGGGGCAGCAAGGTCAGGATGTCGGCGCTCCAGGGAGGTGCCAGGAGGAGGGGACAGGCATGCGGGACACAGGTGAGGCCAGAGGTCACTGCAGATGGGCCTAGGTGTCCTCATGTGGCCTCCGGTCTGGCGGATCCCGCGCAGGTGCACCCTGGGGTGAGTGACGACCGGCAACCGAGTGTTTCTTCGGAAGGTCGAAGAAGGAAACGGAAACCCCTATGCGGCTGCTGCTTGTTCTTCAGCCACTTGGGCAGGCAGTTTTCTTTCCAGCCTTTTCTTCTTCCTTTTTTCCCTTTAAAGATTTGAGAGAGAACATGAGTGGGGTGGGGGGTGGGGTGCAGTGGGGTGGGGGGTGGTGCTCAGCAGGGAGCCCGACATGGGGCCCGATCCCAGGACCCCGGGATCACGCCCTGAGCCGAGGTCAGATGCTGCACCCACTGAGCCACCCAGGCACCCCTTCCTCTTTTCAAAGACCTTCAGGCATCTCCACCCCTCCACGGGGCTCGAGCCCACAATCCCAGGAAGCGTCACACACTCCACTGAGCCAGCCAGTGCCCCTTTCTTCAGAAGGGTCCGGGGTGCCCCCCGCACGCTGACCTCTTGCTGTGGCGCCTGCTTCTCAGCTCCTGGTGGGGAGGGTGTCGTCTTTCTGAGCAAGAAGGTGGAGCCGAGGCACACGCAGGCGGCCGCAGAGCCCTGCAGGGGGGCAAGGGGACTTCTGTGCTCGGCCTCCATCGCGTCTTCCTGCCACGGACGCCCCCTGCCCCCCAGGGCTGAGCACACGGCCTGGGTGCTGGCGGCTCGTCTCCTGACTGCTGCCCCAGGCCCTGCTGCCCCCGGAGCTGGACCTGCACCAAGGCCCTAAGGCTCTGGGACCTGTGCTCCTGGGTGGGGTCCGCTCTTGGACGCGCCCTGCGTCACTCGCCAGTCCCGGTGTGGCACGTTCCTCGCCAGCTGTGATATCACTCGGATTTCAGTGGCGACCGCACTTTACCAATCAGAACCTTCAAAATTGTTTACTATGAGGTGAGGTTCATGACTGTGCACCGTTCAGGGCATTGAGCACATTGTGAGGTTGTGCCACACGCATCTCCCCCCAGGAACTCCAAACTTTTCATCACTAATCTGTCAGGAAAACCATAAAAGGTCTCTCCTGGCCCACCTACTTCTACGGATGCGGGTTCCGAGTGGGGGCAGAGCCCCTGGACGCTCCCAGGGCTCTGTGTGAAGCATGAGCCCGTAGCAGAGCAGAGGTAGGGGACCGGCGCATCTGGGGTCCCACTGTGACCAGTGTGTGGTGGGGGGGGGAGGACCCCGTCTCTTTTCTCTTCCTTCCCCAACTCCCGGAGAGGCCTTTAGCTGGAACCTGACTTGTCAACAGGCTTCTGTTGAAGCAATGAGTGACCCTGCCTGCGGGAACGGGCAGGGGTGGCTGGCAGGCACTGGGGCAGAGCAGCACTGCTCTACGCTCTCCCCTAAGTAACAGCGTAATCCACAAGCTGAAAAGAAAATACGTGATATAGCAAGGAAAGTTTTTTTAATTAAAAAGATTTGAGAAGGGCAGCCCGGGTGGCTCAGCAGTTTAGTGCCGCCTTCAGCCCGGGGCCTGATCCTGGAGACCTGGGATCAGGTCCCACGTCGGGCTCCCTGCGTGGAGCCTGCTTCTCTCTCTGCCTGTGTTTCTACCTGTGTCTCTGCCTCTCTCTCTCCCTCTATGATCTCTCAGGGATAACTAAATAAAACATTTAAAAAAAAAGATTTGAGAAAAATGGGGGCAGGGGGTGTGTGACAGAGGGAGAGAGCCTTAATTAAGCACTGTCCCTGGAGTGTGAAGCCAGATGCGGGGCTTGATCCCACGACCCTGAGATCATGACCTGAGCCAAAACCAAGTCAGAGGCTTAACCGACTGAGCCACCCAGATGCCCTAGTAATCGGAGGTTTTAATTCTCCCTAAGAGCTAGATGGCCTAGACGGTGCGTCACCAAGGACACAGGGCACACTCCCCACAACCCACCCGTGTGGCCTTTTCCAGCACAGCCTAGTGGAGGCCAGGCAACAAGTCATTATGAATTTTAAAGACCAAAACCCGAAGTACATTCACAAACTCCAGCACTGGGGAGGAACAGATCTCTAAACAGACCACGAGCCAAAGGGTTCCACTGGAAACCACAGCAACGCCACTGGGACCCGCCAAAGCCAGGGCCTCACGCACCTGCACAGCAGAGGAGAGCCTCCTCCCTTAAGAAACGAGAGTCAGGGAAAATTAACAAGGCAGGAAACAACAAATGTTGGAGAGGATGCGGAGAAAAGGGAGCCCTCTTACACTGTTGGTGGGAATGTGAACTGGTGCAGCCACTCTGGAAAACTGTGTGGAGGTTCCTCAAAGAATTAAAAATAGACCTGCC